TTTTTTTTTTTTTTAACTACATAGATTTTGTGGCCTATTTAGAAATGTGTAAACTTGTAAAATGTTATTCCTATTTTTATCACCTTTAAAACTTCCTGACATAAAGAAAAGCTTTTCAAGTTTGATCTTAACTTTCCCCTTTACTTTTATCTCTCCTTTGTCATTTTTAGTGATTATTCTCCATAGGTACCACGTAGAACCTCACCGCTAACAGCAGTGAGCAAGTGAATGGTAATTTAAAGAACAACAAGCAATAATGTCTATGAACTGACTTTCAAACATACATTAATACAAAATCAATTAGATTATGTGTTGATCATGCTAGTGGATCCATTTATTTTCCATTTCCTGTATTTTCCACATCCTGTAACAGCGTTACTGTACATTGCATTACATTACACTGAAATCCCTATAGCATTATCACTTTGTGGACAGGGTAGTTTTAGAAAGGCACGTGGTTGTAAATAAGCATTAAGCTCAACTCCAGTTAACACTTTTTAAAGAAGAAGTCTGGGAAAATCAAAAACTTACCCTTGCACTGGGACTCAAATAAATCTGTATTACTCATCTGATCCTTGGTCCCATCAGCTCGCTCTGCTAGACCGGTCCCCACAGCCTTTTCTTCCTGGACTCCAGCAATCTAAGAACCGCTGAAGTCCTCACGTCTTATGCAGGTCCATTGACCTGCATGTAACGTGATGAAGCTTGCACCCAGACAAAAACAAGCACTTAATCCTTGCAGGGGGGGGGGGGGGGGGGTAGTCCCACTACAAGGACAAGTTTTTGATATTCCCATGGTTCTTTAGGTAATTACAGCATCTGTTTTTTCCTTATGATTATAAGAACCATATGAATATATGAGTACAAATAATCATATGAATAAAAGTTGACCGTTGTAAGCACCCACAGCAGCACCTACTTGCTGTCACTTTTACCGGTCAGCTTGGCCTGCATGTAAACATGAACAAAAATAACAAATAAAGGCATATGGAATAAAAAAAATAAACAGATACTGAATACTACTATTGCAGGTATAATCCCTTTACAGTTACAAGAATACAATATTTTTTGCTATATGGGTGATTACATTCTAGGACCAAAAGGAGCCACATGTAACCTGTGTGATAGATCCTTGGCTCCATTGTGGTACCAGTCCAGCATTAAACATTCAACATGAAGTTTTTTGACCTTCTCCAAGTTGGATCTCCCTTCATCAATCTCATTTAAAAGGAGTTTTATGTCTTCACTCTGTATACAAAAGAGATTGTACAATGGAATTAGGAATAATATGTCACAGCATACAAGTAATCACATAGCATGTATGAAAACATATGTCTTAAAAGATGTATTAAAATATATGTCTTTACAATATATATTTAAACATACATTTTATATGTACAGTAAATAATCTTATCAATTAATGGTTTAAAAGCCTTTGTATAGTTTAACGACCTCTAGACCGGCCATTGTAGTAAAAAAGTCAGACAGGGGAGCTATTACTCTAAATCAGGGGTGGGCAATTCTGGCCCTCCAGCTGTTGCGGAACTACAAATCCAATGAGGCATTGCAAGGCTGAAAGTTACCAGCATGACTCGCAGAAGGATGTTGAGATTTGTAGTTAACCAGTTGCTGTCCGACCTTTGAGAAAAAAACGGCGGATGGCAGGCTTCTATTTGCGGGTTGCCGTCTCCAGACGGCATTTTTTTCCTGCTCGCGCGCTAGGGGGAAAGACCCGCTCGTTCTTACAGCCATTAACGGCTGTTTCACATACAACTGATCAGCGGCTCTATAGCCGCCAATCGGTTGTATGGCGTGAAAAAAAGTTTTACAAAATAAGTCACAAATAGAAAAAGTAAAAACAAATAAAAAAATGTTTAAGTGCCCCCCCCCCGCCGTTGTTGACGCACTTATAAACGTAAATATGCGTCAGATGCGTCAGCGCGCGAAAATGACAATTGCGCTTCACATGTTGAATATCGTCGCGAACGTCGCAGTGAGAGCAATCATTTTAGGGCCATCAATCACTGATAACACTAAACTGATGAGCAGTAAAAGCTTTTAAAGCGTCGCCTATAGCCAATTTTGGGTATTGTAGTTTTTTGAGGTTTCACGCATGCACGCAATTTTAAGGCTTGACATGTTTGGTGTCTTTTTACCAGACGTGACCCCGACTCTTATATTTTACCAAAAAATTGGTTAATAATAAATGTTTTTTTCCTTTATACTAAAAAATAAAACCCCCAGTGGTGATTAAATGCCACCAAAAGAAAGCTCTATGTGTCTCCAAAAAATGGTATAAAATTCATTTCAGTACAGCGTTGCATGACGGAATAAATGTCAGTCAAAGTACTGCAGCGCTGAATACTGAAAAATGGCCTGGATGGGAAGGGGGTTTAACACCGCGGACTTCAAGTGGTTAAAGCACAGCTGGAGGGCTGGAGTCTCCCACCCCTGCTCTAAAATGGACATTACATTGTTGCGCCAGGCACGCACACAATGCCTGTGACTGCGCTGTCATTAGACCGTGCAGTTCATAGGCAAAATCACAAAAGCCAATCACAGTGACTGTACCTTATGATTGTTGTGAACCAATCACAGCAATCATGAGTGTAAATACCCCTCCCTTCCTTTTGCAAGGGCAAGGAGAGTACAGAGACTGATGGCTCCATGGTACAGTACGTTTATTCACTGTATTTATGTACTGGCACTGTCACTAACCACTAACTGTATGGGAGAAAACTCTGTGTCCATACAATTATTTAAAAAAAAAAGAATTTGGTTAAACTGTTGCATGGCCAAGTGATTGTCAGTCAAACTATCACAGTGCAGAAAACGGCCTGGAAAGGAAGGGTGCAACATGCTAGAATTGAGGTGATTAGAAATGTATAGTTTGTAATTATTTTTGTACATGGGATTGTTATATTTACATATGTATATGTTGCATCCTGATTTACAGTGCTACATCATTGTTGTGCTTTACTTCTTCTCACAAAGCAAGTCTATGATTTGGTTGACAGAATGAAAACATAACACACCCTTTTTTGTTTTGGAAGGAGTAACAAAGGTTAGTTTAGGACTCCTATCAAGTTTTTATTGCTGTCTGTGTTGCCAGTGGTTAGATTCACTCTCTCTATTTGTCCTGGTGACCATTGCCACTGGGACTAAAAGTGAGGGAGAGTATAAAATATTGGTGTTCACAGGAACAGGAACAGGAATAGAAGGGAAAATTGGGGACACTAGAGAGAAATGTCTAAAAGAGGCTTTACCTCACTATGTAGTGATTTCTTCTTACCTCCTGTTTTGTCTCTAAGAGAGTAAGTAAAGGAAAATCTCTCCAAGGGAACACAGACAGCAAAAAAAAAAAAAAAGAGCCTTGACTTTAACTACTCCCTTTTCTATGAAACCTTTCGGCTTCAGGTTTACTTTAACTGCAATGATAACTAAATTATGTGCTAACTGAAAGTACACTGAATTTTCCCTTTTACAGCAATTGATTGAGTTGGAATTCTTCACCACTGGGTTTCCCTTAATAGCTGCTGATAGAATAGAGGTGAACAGATATAACTGGACATCATGCTTGGAATAGAATTTAGCCAATGTCCAGAGGAAAGTTCAGAGCTCTTACATTTGGCTATAAGTCAGCAGATAGTCAAAATAGACAGCTTTAAAGAAGAACTCAAGGCAAGGGTTTCATTCTGACAACCCCAAACTGTAAGGTGTTAACTGCTCATCTAAAATAAAATAAAAAATATTCTCACCTGATCCTCCAAGCCAGCCGGCTCTTGCACTAGTCTTTCCAGTCGTGCTTCCCCTCCACTGCAGCGGTGTAAGGATCCTCGAGTCATCACATCCATGCACTGTGTATAGGACATGAGGATGCCAAAGGACATACCATTGCTGCAGTGTAGGAGAGAGAGAAGCTAAAGGGAGCACTGTGACAGCCGGCTGGCTCCGAGGATAGGGTGAGTATAACTTTTTATTTTAGTCCCTAGATACAAACAAGCAGCTAACCCTTGCATTGTGGGGGTAGCCCCACTGCAAGGGTTGATAAAAATGTTGCCCGGATATGGCTTGAATTTCGGATGATTGCTACTGAATTGCCTGAAATTTGAGCTGTGGATAGCAATACCTGGCTAGAAAAAAATAAATTTAAAAACTCAATGAGCCAGGTGGAAAATGATCTGCTAAAGAGTGACTGCATCCTATCAGATGCAGTCATTGTTCGGGTATTCAGACAGCTTGTGCGTGCTGTGCCTGTCTGAAAACACTAGCCGCCAGTGCAGGTGTCTCCATCCTTGCTGTTTAAAGTGGATAGATTAATCTATAGATTTTCTCTCGTTCAGCCCCCAGTCTGATTGAGAGAAGTCTAAGTGTCCATGGCTAGCCTTACTTGTGTTCATGTCTATTCCCCACCAAATGCTTATCTCTGATATAATGAGTTAGATGAACACCACTTATTTGAGCTTATTCAGCAAGGCAAAGTGCAATGTGCAACCATGGCAACCAATTAACTCTGAGTTCAGTATAATGAAAATCCATTTGGATGTTATGGGCGACTGCATCTGTACAATGCATTTTGCCTTCAATAAGGCCATATTAGTCTTTACACTGCTTTATTAAATAAGTCCGACAGACTGCTGAGGTTCATTGACATTTTTGTTCATATTTACGACAGTGAAATCCCCGCTCTACAGTGACATTCTCATCAGTAATTTTCTTCTTTCTGATTTTTTTCAGTCTGTTGGCGTTCATTTCATTCTAGGTAAAGACACCAAATCTTTGCTAGACTATCTGACCACTACCGGTAGACTATTACTCAAGGAGCTGAATCTGTATAGGTAGCAAAAGCAGTAATTGTATTGTATGAAATCATATGTAGTCAATATGTAACCACTTAAACAATACGAAGCAGTCGCTGCTATCAGAAATACAATTATATACAGCCATTAAAAGAACTATTAATCAGATCTGATCTTACAAAATCAGATCTCTGTCACAGCATTAAGCCATGTTTCTTCGACATTCATTTAATATTCATGACAGACATATAGTGGTTGATGCATATATAACAAAATCTCTGCAGTCATGTAAATTCACTTTTAATGTCCTGTTTAAAGTAAAGTAAGAAATCAGTCATTGTTACAACAAAAGCACTTCATTTTGATGTGCTTTTGTTGTAACAGTATATATGGGGGTGAGGTATCGGACCACCTGGAGATTATGGATTTGGAAAGTATTCTACTGTGTTCATAAGAAACCAGTCATTGACATTGCTGTAATAGCCTATAAGTGGTTTGACATAGGCAGGAACTTACCACAAAAGGTTGTGGAGCATCAGGGTTTGTTAATTGACTTGTATAAGCATGGAAACGACCGCTGGTCTTGTTGGAGAGCTCATACAAGAAGCTATTAGCCTCGGTATCATCACAGTTAAATGAAATTGTATGGATAGGCACAGGCCTGAACAGGTTGATGTGTTCAAGAAATGTTTCTGTTGGCTATAAAAAAACAAAACAAAACAGATTTTGAAGATATCACACATTTGTTGTTTCAGAACTCTTCATTGACCATTGTTTAGTTCAAATGTGTAAACGCTAAAAGGAGAACTGTGGGGTCAGTACTTTTCCCCATAGTTCTCCTAAGGATAACGGGAGGACACAAACTAGCGTCCTCCCGTCACCCAAAGCTCAGTATACCACAAACTACAGCTCGTGATATACTGAGATGCCACAGCCGGGACAGATCCCGACATTACTGTCTGGATCCACCCAGTTGCGTGTTTGACAGCTGGCTCTGCCTATTCAGAGGCAGAGCCAGCTGTACCCGCCACCTTCCCCCTCTGTTCCGCCAGTCAGCGCTTGAGGATCAGACAGGGAAGGGGGATCCCTGCAGGGAGCCATGAGTGACAGTCACGGCTCTCTGCAGGGACAGGATCGAGAAGTGAGCGAGCGACGGTATGTGTTCAAAAGAAATCTCCCAACAGGGCGCAAAACTTGCGAGGTCCAAAAAAAGATGGTATGTGTTCGCTCACTTCCCGATCTATTGAGCCGACCTGTGACAGTTTCATTGTCACAGGCCAGCTAGAACTATGAGGCCGAGTGACTTTCACTCGCCTCATAGTTCTCCTTTAACCTTTTTTAACTAGATTTTTTAAACTAGATTTTTCCATAACCCACTTTATATCCTACAATGTTTGAAGCTCACATATATAACCTAAATGACAGGTGAGTAAATCAAAGACCTAATTTACACAAGAGTGGTAGCAACAAGTGGTGGCAATTATCTTTGTTATTATACCTAGATCTGCCCAGGTACTCTTGATGTACTTATAACTAGGGATGCACGGAAATTTTGGCTGCCGGAACATATCGGCCGAAAATGGCACTTTTAGCAAAATGCAGAAAGTGCCATCTTTCGAACAATATTGTGATGCATCCCTGGTTTCTCTCCTCCCCATTGGGCGCTGCTCTGTGTCCCCTCTGACACAGTGCGGCATCCAGCGGGGAGGAGAGAAACTGTCACAGGAGGCCCAGTGGTGTGGGGGAGGAGAGTGCTGTGAGGGGCCGACGTCTCTCCTCCCGCACCGTTCAGCCTCCTGTGACAGATCAGGAGAGCGGCGGTGTGGGGGCGCAGACAGCGGTCACAGGAGGCTGGGCCGGCGAGGAGTCAGCTGTCAGAGGAGATCAAGCTCTCCTCCCCGCACCGCTCGCTCAGCCTCCTGTGACAGCGAGTCAGATTAGAGAGTGAGTACAAGCAGTCAGCGGTCGCTGACTGCTTGAAAAATAATTAAGGACATAGTAGGTTTACTGTGTCCCCAATTATGAATGAATGGGAAGTGATCTACATCATGATTGTGGACATGGTAAACATACTATCTCCACAAGTTATGAATGAACAGGAACACTCAGTATAGAGGCTTCCTGTTCATTTATAAAAGGGGATGTAGAAAAAGAGATTGAGGACTCTGTGTTCTTAATCTCTTTTTCTATTTTAAAAGGGAAATATCAGGGGTCTTTTTAGACCCCTAATATTTCCCCGAAGCCCCCAACCGTAAAGTAAAATAATAATAATAATAAATTAAATAAAAATAAAATATTTTAAACAATTTGAAAAGGTTACAAAAACCTGACATTTTTTTTGCATTTCGGTTTAGTTTTGGTTTTGAAAATTTCATCTTGGTGCACCTATACTTATAACATGCCCTTATCACTCCATACACAAAACATAGTCTTTGGAATTTCTGCTTTAAATTAACAGCAAGTTGTGAGGCAAGCTCTTGTTCAAGCTCTTTAATTGTTTTATTAAATGTCTCTTTGTTTTCCCATTACCTGATCGGGACGTCCATCTGTAAGTAAATAAACTGCCTGGGTATTACTATCGGACAGAGCCACCTGGAGAGCCTTCAGGGTATTTGTTGAGCTGCCAACCTGTCCAGAAAAATAAAACTAAATTTAAAATATGCCATACCTCCCCCACATAAAAATACATGAAGAGTTTCTACTTCGCTAAAAGTTCCATCCAGCACTTTTACTTACTATTGACGGTCTATTGCTCTGGATCCCTATGTGGATCTCCATGTTAGGTGTAACATTAGCTAAAACAAACTCCAAATGCTCTGGAACATCATTATCGTTTTTGAATTGTGTCTCTTAATGTGATTGCTTTGGTCCTACAAAGTCTGATGCCCACTTTTTTTTCTCTAGCAATTAAAAAAATGATTCAGAAGGTTTCAGTTGTAGGTTAGTGTAGTTCTGTCACATGACTGGCTGTGAGGGACAAATTAGAGCAAGATGACCTGATACTGACAAAGTGTGGGGTAATATGAAGGGCACCTGTGTCGACTCCAAACATCCAACAAGTTCTGTTCTATTTCAAATTCCCCTGCAAATTATTGGATGTTCAAAGTAAACATAGATTTACCGTACATAATGCATTATTAAACCAAGTTCAGGTTTACTTCTCTTCAGCTCACTACACACAGTTATAATGAGATATAAGGAAATCTTTTTTTTTGCTTACCAAGTAACACTCATGAAACAGCAAGCAGGACATAAAAAAGTAGATCTGTAAAAAAGTAATCTGCCATTGGCTTATGGAACATTTTCCCTTAAACTGTCCTAACCATTATTTCTTTTGTTCTGTAAATATTAAGAATGTGTTATATTATTATTATTGTTTAAAATGTGTACACAAGTTTGTATGTAAAATACAATCACAATTCTCAGAATTTGCTCTCCTTTTGTACCAGACTATGAAAGCCTGAGACACAGTACCATGATACAAAGCAGTACTTTGGTTTATTATTCATAGCTTTTTGTTATTCTGCTTGTAATATGCAAGGTCAGGTAACTGGCAGCCTCCAAATAACAATCAATGAGCAAAGTGTTTTGTCTGTCATGTTTTCAGAAAAATAATGTCCGCCTGACCAGTCTCTCTTCAATGTGGGGTTAAACAGATCACTGTGTGTACCCGGCCAAAGTAAACCTGTTTTGATGGTTTTCTAAAACATTAAACACTGTTCCTTTATATTTCAGTATTAAATACTTCTTCTGAGTATTCTTATAAGACTTAGAAAAACTGAGTGAGGCCTGTGCATATGAACATATAGTTATGCTGTTATGAAATTAATGCTAAGGTCTATACATACTGTGAGTACAAAAAGAACTATTTTCTTATTTGTCCTTTGAGGGACACAGGAAGTCTCTCACCTTCACCCTAAAGCTGTCCAACTGAGGGGTGGACAACTGCAAACTGGGGTCAGTCCAAAGCTCAAAGAGCTGCCTAAAGGACCATATACCCGAAGCTGGCATCAGATGAGTCCACAATACCCACTTAGTAGAGAAAATGTAAACAGAAGACCAGGTGGCAGCCTTGAAAATCTGAGAAACATTTGATAGATGCCAAAAGCCCAAGAAGCATGCACATATCTTTTAGATAAAAACGGTAAAAAAGGCGAGCGCACAACTGTTATGCAATGTGGCAAGAGGAATAGATCTGTTTAAAATAAATTTTAATACTAAACAATTCTGGAACAATTTTGAAGCAAAAACAAAAACAAAAGTTAAAACGAATTTTTAAAACGAATTTTTAAAATTAGTTAAAGAATGGGGTGAGCCAGCTTCTCGTTCAGGGGGAGGGACCCTGCAGACACATGTTCAAGACCTCTTTGTCAAGCCAGAAGTGGTTTACTCTGGTTTACCACTTCTGGCTTGACAAAGAGGTCTTGAACCTCGAAACGCGTAGCCAAATTGCCCGATTGACATTCCCATCACCCAGCGAGATAGACCGCACTGGTTTCCAGCCCCGTGCCTGTCTCCAAAAACGATCTGTCACAACGACTGCTGACAGTTTTCCAAACCGCTACAGAGCGGCACTCTCGCTCCCGTTCAGCCGTCGGGTCTCAGCCTGGCCAGCTGATCTCCCACGGTATTGGATGGCACGAACACCCTCAGTGCAGAGCCTCTGTACAAACAAGGCTACAGGACGGCAAATTCTTGCGCTCCAGCCACAGGAGCCTCCTAGCTGTCACCACTATCTCTCCTCCACCACCAGGGGACCAAACCAGATACTTCCAAACTCATACCCCTCACCGGCAGGACATTACTACGTCCACCATTACTACGTTTGGCCCGTTTACCACATCCACACCGATCGCCCGAAGACACTGCTGAGCGATCCATACAGCCTTTCTCCTGATTTGCAAGACCTCATCTGGTCCACCCAAACAGTGAGTTTTCAGTCCAGTATTGTTTTTAAAGTTTTTAAAGTTGGTATCTATCCCCACAATATCCCAGGGTTGCAGCGCTTCTTTCCACCCTCCTTTTTACATATCTTTTAGAGTGTGCCTTTACAGGAAAGGGTGGAACCCAACCCTTGAGACTATAAGCCTGGATGATGGTCTTTCTGAACCACCTAGAGATGGTGGAACAAGAAGTTGGTATACCCTTACAGAGATCATCCCGGATGAGAAAAATGCAATGAGTTTTTATGAAGGAAGCTGTGGTTCAAAGATAGACTCTCCAGAAATATCCTTTTAGTAAACTGGAGCAGGACAAAGGAATGGACGAACAATGTCCTAGTTGAGGTGAAAGACAGAGACTACCTTAGCCAAGAAGTCCTGGGCCTCAACTTAATCAGAACGGTTCCTTGCAGGAGACTGCCAGTTAAGACACTCGTCTTAACTGGCAGTCTCATATCATAATAGGAATCACTGATTCAGAGATGCTCCTGTCTCCCAGAACCTGTGCTTTAACAGCTATGCTGAAAAACCCCCCAACTCCAGGCACAAGAAAAACAAAACCCTTGCAGTGAGTCGTCGTCCCCCCCCCCTCCCCCCCTCCCCCCCGCACTGCAAAGGTTCAATGCTTGTTAACTGTACGGTATAGAGGAAAAGCCTGTATTACTTACCTTACTCCTTGGTCTGGCAGGCTTTGGAGCTCTCCTCCCTGATGCTTCGGGCTGTGGACGGCCCCTTGCCATCATTAAGTACAATGCAGGGCAATTAGTCCTGTATTATATGTTAGAAGGTAAGTGTGTGGTTGCAGCTGGGGGTACCTTAGAGAGGAGGCTTTGGGGAGCCTTTTGGAGCGGGGAATAAGGTAGGAATTACACCTTGTTCCTTTTACCCTGAACTAAATTAATATTTAACTAGGGATGCACCAAAATTTCGGTGCCAAAAGTACCATTTTGTGGCCAAAATTGTGGTGCATCTCAGAGCAGCATCCAGCGTGTAGGAGAGAAAGTGTCAGGAGGTCGAGTGGGGTGGGGAGGAGAGTGCTGAGAGCGTGTCACTGGAGGCTGAGCCCTCCTCCCCCACCGCCCCACTTGGCCTCCTGTGGCAGGCAGAGACTTAGAATAGAGAGTGGTGTGGGGGAGGAGACAGCTGTCATAGCTGGCCGAGCTGATGGGGCGGGGGGAGGAGTCAGCTGTCAACCATGTCACAAGGCTGAGCTCTCCTCCTCGCACCGCTGGCTCAGCCTTCTGTGACAGCCAGGAGTCAGGATGAAGAGTGGAGGAGTCAGGATGGAGAGTGGTATACAAACACTCAGTGATCAGATCGCTGAGTGTTTGTAAATAATTGAGGATATTAGTATGTTTACTGTGTCCCCAGTTATGGGTGAACAGGAAGTGCTCTACATCACTTCCTGTTCATTCGTGATTGTGGCCATAGTAACTCATACTATATCCAAAGTTTATGAATGGAGAGGAACACTCAGTATAGAGGCATCCTGTTTATTCATAGCAGGGTTTGCAGAAAAAGAGATTTAGGACTCTGTGTCCTCAAACTCTTTTTCTATTTTAAAAGGGAAAAATCAGGTTTAGACCTGATTTATATGTATATGATATCATATATATGATATATATATGTATAAATAAAATATTCAAATAGGGCCGCACTGCAGGGTTATTTTTCTTCTTCCGCCCGGAGTTGGGCTTTATAGCCAGTGACCTTGAAGCAGGAAGGTAAATCAGCCCTGAGAAAGAAGATCCAGACAATCTGGTAGAGCCAACAGCGTGTCTGCCAGGTGGTTGACCAGATCAGTGTTAAATATCCACCTGGGCCAGCCCAGAGCAATGAGGGTCACCGGAATGTCCTCTATCTCAATTCTGCAAAGCAGATGAGGAACGAGAGGAAGGAGGAAAGGCATAGATTAGGGTGTACTGAGCCCACTGAGCCACCAGAGTATCTACTACTTCTGCTAGAGGATCGCTGTACCTGGAAACAAACCTTTCCTGTTTGTTGTCAAACTAAGGGCTAGTTCACCTGATTGGTGCCGGAACGCACAGGATCACATTCCGGCCAGCTCACTTTGTTTTAGGCGGGAGGGGGCGTGGCGGTGCATTGAAGTCAATGGCACCGCAGCCACGCCCTTCAGCCACAGTGCGATTGCATGCACCGGAATGCATGGCACATCGATGCCTGCGTTCCGGTAAGAAAAAATAGTGCATGCAGCATTTTTTCTGACTGCATCGGACTGGAAGGCAGGCACTGATGTGCCACGCGTTTCGGTTCCAATGATCGCACTGCGGCCGGAGAGCGCGACTGCGGTGACATTGACTTCAATGCACCACCACGCCCACTCCCACCCCAAAACAAAGTGAGATGCCGGGATGCGATCCAGTACGTTCACAGTAGGTCACAGCCAAGATAGGATATAAAGAAAGACCTGCCATCCAGAACAGAGCTCTAGAGAGGGATTTTAATTACTTATCAGTTGAGTCCTGAAAGACAGGCGTATCCTCTACCAGTATGGTAGTCACTGTGTTTAGGTGGGATTGATCCACCGTGGTGGTAAAACACTTCTTTACAACATTCTCATCAAATGGGTACAAATTGCTTGGGAGGAGCAAACATCTTGTCAGGGTGTTTCCAATCTCCGTTAATGAAGGCTTGGAACGGTGGGAGCAATGGTATAGTCTTTGCTGTCTTAGGGCCTCTAAAAACCCAAGACTGGAAGCAGAACTGGTAGAAGCAACAGGCTGATCCTCTAATTTCAGAGTGGTGTGCACTTCTCTGATAAGAGCCAAAACAGTCTCTATTTGGGAGTATTAGCAGAAGACTCTGACTCCTCCAGGATAAGACTGCAGGGACTCAGAATCAAACAGAACCTCTGCAGGTGATGGCTCAGAAGCTGCTAAGGCCATAGGAAAGGTGCGCAAGTGGCTTCTGTGGTTAAAGCCAACAAATAATTGGGTGATTTGGGCCATAAAGTCTTAAGTCACTGTAGTAAAAACCTCAGCTAAAAAGGGCAGACTCTAGGAGCAGAGGGCAACAGGATTCCAAGCTACAGACATCAGCTGCATCAATAGGCACGCTCAGCCGCCCCAAAATCGTTAGCCGAGTGTGAGCTGGTGCACTCATTACAATGGGACTATCCCCCCCATGTCTATTTAGACATTGCAACCATGTGTAGCGGTAAGGCAACTGAAGGCTCAGGGTAGGAGGCAAGGCCTCAAGTACTTACAAAACGCAAACAACTTGTAGCAGGTGAGGGTCGTTGATCGGAGGTGACCAAATGTAGGTGGGCAGCAGGAATGAATTGGAAACTGTAGTTCCATGTGGCTCTTGAAAGCAGGAGTGGCAGGGAGGAGATGCTTCTTTGGTGCTGTATAGCGATAAAGAGAATGCAGAGCACATACATGCAACACTACATCCAGCGGATGATGCTTTTGCTCAGTCCCACAGCATTAACCAATTCTGTGGCAGAAACTGGCAGGAAACAGTGAAATGTAAAGGTGCCCAACAACCTAAGTAATGAAGGTAGCTCCAGGTGCCCACCCACTAATTGAGTTTTCAGAGCCAGGACAGGCACTGAAGCAAAGCCAGTGGCTCAGTGGCTAAATTGTTACCAGATTGGAGTCTAGAAAGTGTCTTACCCTGTGTCTGAAAGTCACTTCTAGGCTATCCATGCAATGTCAGAGTCCAGCAGGGTCCAGACATGGCACTTAAAAAGCTAGGCTTATGGATGGCCATGCCGGATAGCTGCAATTAAAGAGACTGGCTCTTTCAGTGAAGCAGAAAAATGTTGAGTAAGAAAAAAACTGCTAGCAAAATTAGGCAAGTCTTTTACACGGAGGAGCAGAAGAAAAGATGTCCATCCTCCTAGGACATTATCAAAATGCTGGTAGTAGGGTGGGTTATCCTGGGCTGCCCTACAGATTTATTGTTTGTCAGTGTCCAGTCCTTTTGTAGGAGGCAGTATAAGCCAAAAGTAAAACCCTTCCTGTGTCCCTTATTGGATGAGAAAAAAAAGTAATCAATGTTCCATACTGCCAAGCTGCCACACAACAGAAATAGAGGAGGTAAGCAGCACACTACTCAGGAGCAGATGAGAATTCCAATTTTCTCACTGAAAGTGGAAAACTCCTTTAATATTTTATCTCACAAAGTGAGGGAAATTCCCTCTTAAACAGTTGTCCCTGAAACAGGTGGCCCATTGGAAACTTTTCACTATATTTCCATTCTGCTCAGAACTGTACAATTTTGACTTTTCCACCACTTGCCATCCACTGAAAAGGTCACCAGGACAAGTGAGAGGGTGAACCTCTCCCTGAAACAGACAGTGATGCAAACAGGATTTTTAATACTTCCATGCTCTACAAAACTTGAACAAATAGTTAGTTTTAGAAATACTTAAATGCTTAATCAGCATCTGAAACAAAATAGGGTCCATCTGCTTCCCTCTGTCTCTTTCGCTAGAATATAGGATGGAGTCCAGACATGTTACAGTATTACAGGTTTTGAGTGTGCAACTGAGTCCCACCATAAATGATCCACATTACCTGCAATTCCTTAACCCAGTATGATGCTTCCTTCATATTTTCTTTATTAACTTCTGCTAACTTTGCTTTCCAAGCCTCTACTTTTGCATCAAACTTTACAAAGTTGAACATCTTTTTGTGTTTAAGTTGCTCCTGTTAAGAACAATTTACCAAGAACATAAAGGTAAAATATTAACGCATTTTATCACAGAGTAGAAAGTAGATGTAAAACAAAAGGGTTTATACCTTATACCATGACAGAAATTCAAAGCAAAATCCTTGGACCACCCATCCCTACTAAAGTAATTTTACAGGTTTAACACACAAACTTTAAAAACAGGCAAGAAAAGGATGATGTCTGAAAAAAATGAATTTACATCTCAAATGTATTTTGATATGAGCCTATACACATCGAGGGGAATTTATAAAAACTGGAGCAGATTTGCATGGCAACCAATCAGCTTCTCTGTCTCATTTTAAAATCTTACCTGAGCAAACTGAAGAGAGATGCTGATTGGTTGCCATGGGCAACTGCTCCAGATTCTGACTGCTTCAGTTTTGATAAATTCCCCTCATCATGTTTTGAGCATGATTTTAATATGTATCCACCTCTGTGACATCATTCTAACCTACAGTTAGAGGTCAGTCAACCTTATCAGAATGGTCTACATATCAAGTTTAGCTACAGGTAAGGTGATATCAGGTCAAATTACGGACTTTTCTGGATGAGAGCATCGATCTCTGAAAAGCCAAAGTCTGTATAATTTTGGGGTGAACTATGTGAAATGGATGATTGTATTCTGAGATAAGCAGTTGCTTTTCATGCAATTAAAAGCAGGTACATCTAATCACATGAATGAGCCTAGAATTGCTGACATTTTATTAAATTTCCCTCTAAGCAAAGCCAATCTTACTGTTTAAAAAGGGCATTCTTCTTTAAAGTGTATTTCCATTTTTGCAGTCAAAATGGGATAATATCTGTTTTAGGGATGCACTGATAACAATACTAGTATCAGTATCGGTGCCAATACTGAGCATTTGGGCGAGTACTCCTACTTGCCCAAATGCTCCCGATGCCTATCCTGATACTGGAACTTCCAATATCAGGAAGCCAGCTCTATGTTCCCTCTTCACTTAGTAATGAGGGAGCATTACTCAGGAAGCTGGGCGCCGTGTAATGACTTGCTGCCCGGCTTCCTGATTGGCAAGCCTTCCGACCAATCAGGAAGCCGGGTTCCATGCTTCCTCGTCACCTGGCTTCCTGGCTAATCACGCTTAATGGGACTTGCAGTATCGGCGAGTGCGGGAAAAAAAATATCGGTACTTGTACTTGTGATATTAAAATGAACTGTGCTTTACCTGCATAAGCTGAAATATTTTTTCCTTCACCAAAAACAGCTTGTCTTTCATGGAATGGGAAGTGTCAATGAGAATATAGACTTGATCCTCAAGTATAGTTCCAAACAGCTCTCTGCTCCCTTTTTGAAGCCATTTTACTCTATTAATATAAAAATAAAGACCCTTTGTGATCAAACAAGGTGTATTTAAAGAGTGCATACTTTAAGTATTTTAGATGTGCAAAGGCAATCAATCCGAAATATATGCCTTGGTGCTCCAAACAGGTAATCCAGAAACAAGTATAATATGCACTGGAAGGGCTTTCATGGAGAAGCAAAGGGGATAACATGGACACTTTATTGGATCAATGTTTTGGCAGGCCACAGCCTTGACATCTGTTTCTCCATGGGAGTCGTTCAGGTGCCTACTATACTTGTTTTTACTTTAGGTATATTTACATCAGTCTCTGCCCCAAATGAGACTAAAGTCCCTTTCAAAATTCATCTCAAATACACACACACACACACACATACACACAGGACAATCTTTGTGTATACTGATTAATCTACCAGCCTGTCCCTGAGGGGAAAATAAACCAAATTTAAAGGGTCACTCTATGCAGAGGTGATTTTTCTGTTTTTGGTACATGCTGAATTGTTAAACCAACTACTGTGTTGTTTTTATTACTACTCATGCACTTTGAGGTTTCTGAACTTAAGTTCTCAGTCCCACATAACTGCATCAGCCATTAGAAGACTGTTCTATTTCCGTTATACTCCTGAATTTTCTTCTATGTATTCTATCTTATAAACACTTTAACAAGAGTGAAAACACCAAAAACTGGGAAGGAACACTTAAACTTCCAAACTAGGCAAGAACAAAGCCAGGCACTATATCAGGGAGATCTCACCAATAGAGCCCCCAAAAGAAACAGCAATCTGGTAGGTGGCAGAGATTTCAGCTATAGATAAAGTAACAGCTGTAATTGGACTGACCTGTTAAAGTGCATGGGGACAATAGTGTACCAGTCAAAACAAGATATAAATACATAATCATACTCTAAACTATTTAGAACCTCATAATAATGTATTATCCAGTATACTTCAAGCTGATAGATTCTTAACTCTTAGTGAAAGGTGCACATTAACACTGATGCAAGAAAAAAAAAAAGGATTTTAAATAATATACACCAAAATTCAGCATGTTAAAAGCTTTTTTGTTCATCTGTACTGTATTTTGTTCATCTGTATCTTGTCACATGGTGAAGTGTAATAACCAATTCCTTCATGATTAAAAACATACATGTAGAGATATATGAGCTCACTATCACATGCACACACAAACAACTTGTCATGCTGTCAATAGATATGATTTAGGTCATATAAATTATGTTATGTCACCTTCTTTCCAACTTGTTCAATGCAGTTTTCATTCTTTCTTCATACCATCTGTACTTCTCCTTACTGATATGGACATGCACCACAGAACCATCTTTCCAAAGAATATGGACAAACTGGTCACAGTACTTGGCATTGATCAGTTTCACATTGTTTTCCTGTAGATTTGGATATGCATGATTAATTACACAGATAGAGCACATGTTAGTTCCAATATTATAATGTCTCTCATTATTAGTTTAAAAACTTTACAGCATTACAGGTCAAGTGTGAGCTTGTTTATGCCAATTGTTTTCTATTTGCCCTGTTCATGGCATAGATACATGGTGGTGTGCAGAAAAATGCTGTTTCACAGACTTGGTGTGAATAGGCACTTAAACAAGTACTTAAACTCATTGTTAAATTACAGTACCCATCCCCAAGAGAAATATGGTGGATGCTATTGCTGATTTACTTCTTAAAATGCTAGTTTGCAGAGTGTTACGCTGACTACGCTTCTAGAAATAACACATAAAAGCTGCTGCAGGAAGTGAACACATAAATGTGCCTGCATATACCTGCAGCAGTTTTAAATAGCCTGAAGAATCTCAGGCCATTCTTCTGAATAGTATTTGGGAGGGACGATAAGCCCTGCCCCTTCACACCTCTAGAAGTCTGTAATGACAGCTTTCATTTTCACCTAAGAAAAGGATTTCTTTCATGATGGACAATGGTGACCCTTTTTGGGGGGTTTGCGCTGATTGCCTTGGACAATGGCAATCAACTTTTTGGGGGGTTTCGCTCTACTGTACTGCAATAATTGGTCCTACCCTCCACACTGTGAAGCCACATTCCTGCTGCAGCAAGGACGTCTTCCTTTATACCATAAAATAAATGAAAAATCCAACAAGGAGAGTAAGAAAGAACCTGTTGCAGGGGCTACACCAGGTAGATAGACCTGAGAACTACATTCTTTAGAAAAAAAACGAACGCTTTACCAATTTAGGGCAAAACAACAGGTTTGCTTTAATGCCCTCCCAGCAACATTTACTAACCTTCCTTCACTGCAACTGCATGCCAACCCACCCCAACACTGTTGTGTTCAGCCCCCAAAAGCGAAGAAAATAGCTGGTACTTCCAGGTATGCATGTGCATGCAAGATTCAGAGCTTATAAAGGGCTTGTTTAACTTGCTATGGCCAGATCAATAGAGCAGTGGGAGAGAAAAGGGAAGGGGAAAATATGCTACTAGTTGACCCAGGTTTAAAGCACATCTGTGCTTTGTCTTGCATGGGCAAAACCATTGCCCTCCCCAAAACCTGCTATAATTAGAACTACGGTCCACAGATTAGAAGCTTGTATTGTGGCAGCAAGTAGACACGTAGTGCTTCTGCTATATTTACAAAGGCTCACCTAAGCCAGATGGGTGCAGTACTATTCAAGCGTACGGCAATTCCTATTATTGTGTATGGTTATAGACAAAAGCTAAAAAACTATCTTGAAGAAACAGCAGGCTGTGTGCCTTTAACACTCACTGCATCTGTTTGCACAGATTCATCCTCCGGTTTGGTCCTAATATCCACTACTCCGTCACTATGGCGAAAGGCACAGTCTGCTAGGGCTTCATAAAAGAGGAGCTTCTGTGGCTTCAAGCCAAACATCTTCAGCCATTCTTCTGAGCTTACACAGTCCTCAGCAGCCTCTTCTGATACAGGACAGCTATTAGTATCTATATAAACATAAAGGCGTTATAGAGTCTGAGAAGAAAGGTTGCACAACATCAAAACTGAAAAACACAATATCACAATACTATACAATGTGACTGAAGTAATGTCATTGTTACTGCAAATCCAATATTTTATAACAAATTACATTCTATGCAATTCTTCATTTAGTTACCCATTACCTATGTGATATTTGTCCAGATTCCTAAAAATGTAGTTTTGTCATGAAGACATAAAAATCTATACAAACAGCAATGGAACAATTATCAGTTTATAGATCTACTAAAAGATGAAATAATCTTCTAACTGAAAACACTACATGTCACTAGATGCTTCCTTTTCTGGATTATAGTCACTATGGCAAATACACAGCTTTAGATGACAAGTGTGAATCTGTAAAATGTGTACATAGCCTTTTGGAGAGTAAAAGTGACCTCTACAGGTTGTCCTGTGTAAGATCACTGCATATATCACATTAAAGGAGAACTATGAGGTGAGTGCTTTTCACTCACCTCATAGTTCTAGCCGACCTATGACAATGAGACTGTCACAGGTCGGCTCAGTAGATCGGGAGGTGAGCAAACACATACCGGGTTCGCTCGCCTCTCGATCCCGTCACGGCTCTCTGCCGTGACAGGGGGAGGGGCTGGATTCCCCTCTCCCCGCTGCGATCTGCCAGCGCTGACTGGCGGAACAGACGGGGGAGGGGGCGGGTACAGCTGGCTCTGCCTCTAGATAGGCAGAGTCAGCTGTCACTCACGCAGCTGTGCGGATACCGTCATCTACGTCGGGATCCGCTCCGGCTGCGGCGTCTCAGTATACCGCGAGCTACAGCTCGCGGTATACTGAGCTTAGGGTGACGGGAGGACGCTAGTTTGTGTCCTCCCGTTACCCTAAGGAGAACTATGGGGAAAAACACTGACCCCATAGTTCTTCTTTAAATAAAAGTTCTGGCCTTACCATGAGTGTGTGTGCCTAACTAACTCTATGAGTGATATTATTGTGTTACCTAATTCAGGGCCACTGAGTAATGCGAATAACCTGTATACCCTATAAAGTAGAATGTTACTGAAATTCCAATTCATAAAATACATTAATAAACCTACACTGGAAGTTCTAATCATGCAGTAAAAAGGGTTGATGTACTAAAGGGAAATAGGGAGAGCTGTTCACTTTGCAAGGGGATTTTCTCTTAGTTTAGCGAATAAGGCGAAGCTCTGCTGACTTCCATCATGTGCAAGCAAATATTTTTATTTTTTTTGCCTGTGATTGGGTATTATTTGCAAAATGAATGTTAACCACACTTACTAAGCTAAGGGAAAATCCCCATGCAAAAGGATTTGCCTTTAGTAAATCAACCTCAGAGTGTCCAGCTGATCGAGTACAGCATTTGTAGCACTCAGGAGTACATTAACACATACAAAGGATGCCCTCTTTCAAATACCATGGTATACACACACACATTCGAACATCCTCATAAATCAATGTTAATATTTTACACCCACTCCTAAACTTTAGTCCTTTGTGTGCATGTTCATTAGTTGTTCACAAATACATAAAGCCAGTCTATACATGGCTAGTGTAGAGGGTCACTAACTGATGGACCAAATTATGGTTCTGTCTGGACTGTGATCGTTCAACTGTGCTGGGTTATGGCTCAGTGGATGTGCCAACCTCGGTGACTTTCCAAGGCCAGCACATGCACATGCACAGCCAGCCATATCTCAGTGCAGTCACTAGGTGCTATGACCGCCGGCATTCTACCAACCAATGACATCACCCCCCCTTGCAGTCATTCGTTGCGACCACCGCCGGCATCCTAACAACCAATGACATCACATGCGTGCAACATCCATAGCATTATAGGGGGGATAGAAGAGCAACTTCTTCCATCCAAACTTGCAGCCTGCTCCACCTCCCTCCTTATGCCTGCTGAGGAAAGGTATTGGGGTAGACTGATGGGGACAATCAATCCTGAGTTGCCCCATTACATAAGTTGAACTACAAGTCCCACCTCAGCAGAAAGACTTGTTGTTTTCAATGCAGTACAAGTGCAGTGACGTGACCACACATGTAGTCAATTAATTCTTCCTCCTGTCCATGTTACTGAATGTTCCTACCAAGGGAGAATCTGCAAAAGCTAAAGCATTGCACCCGCAATCCACTGATTGTGTTTGCAATGCTTTACTGGCTCCTATGCAAAAAAATAATAAATGCACATAAATACACAGATTATAGCAAAGGCTATATAGACTGTGTCCTAGAGCAGGAGAGCCACCAGGGGCAGCAACCAGCTAATATTAAATCAAACTGCTAACAAAAGGTGTAATAGAATTTTCCTGTTCGTCATTTCCATCTGGCTATATTTGCCCCGCCTGTGCATTTTTCATGGTGGAATAGTGCAATGTGTATTTAGTTTGTGTTCCCTAAATCTGTGTGGCTAGAAGCAAACGTTTAGCAATATAGAGAGAATGTTTTCCATATTGATCTAGGGTCAGTTCTAGGTGTATCCACACAAGGACAAACTATTCATTTTAACCTCACTCCCTTCAGTCCCAGCATTATTTGTAAAGTTATGACATCTGATTCTGTTAGTCTTACACTAAGGCTAGCCAAGAAAATGGGGTTGGAGAAGGCAGCACAAAACAGTTGGAATAGGGTGGTAAGCAGTAATGGCTGTTAATTTGTTTGAATATCCAAGCAAAAAGGTAAACATCTTATTGGGGATATTTAAACTTCACTGATCATTTGACAGCTGAATGACAGGCTGAGGCTAAGCATCTGGAGCAGGGAGGCCTCAATCTCAACTTGGGCAGAAGTCAAGGTCCCATGTACAGCCTAGGCCTAGGATCCAAGGGGCTCCACAGGGACAGATGCACCTGCAGGCTGCAGGCACCACATCAGCGTTGCGGTTGTCCTAGAAAGTTTTAGGTCAGATGAGGTCACCTTTAAAAAACAAATCATATTTACCTTCTTCTGAGTGGTACAGATTTCTTAAAATATCCTGCAATTGCTTTAGCGTCTCCTGTGCTTCCTCCAGCTCCTCGGCAATCAACTCTTCATCTTTCTTGAGATCAAACTCTATGGAAATAATAGTTAATCATAAAAATTATGTTGCAAGGATGACCATAGCAAACTATAACTAGTTAATTTAAAATATTAAAATATAAGTTGATAGAACAACTACAGAGTAAAATATATGATGAAAAGTCAATCATCCAGTTTACAAATGTACTGATTACAAACAGTTTCAAATGGAGCTTGCAACCAGGCAGAAATGATATAGTTTCCTCATGTAGGTTACAGTCAATATAAAAATTGGTTGCTACAACCTCTATTGTACTCTTGTTATAGTTTTCATATATCTGATGCAATAGGCACTCTATGGGAGAGGAAAATCTGGACTATGTTTACAATTTCTTGCCAACACTGACACAGTAATGCGTGTGCCAGACAAATGTGGCATCAGTCAAAAATAGAGTCTTGGCTGTCCCATGTATTGTCACCTAAAGTGACCATGCTGGCATCCAGTTTCTGAAAGTTCTGCTTACATAGCCTAAATAAATCTGTTCAAAGGAGGAGGTGGGTCAGGGGTACTGTATAAGTGGAGGGAAGCTTGTAACCAATGGATCACAAACTACCGCTGAGTGGGGTATATAAACAACATTAAAGGGCATCTCCATTTTCATGTTAGTGACAGTCTGCTGATATACTGCTGGCACTTTTGAGGTAAGCATGAGATGTGATGGGTGCAAGTGCTGAGTATATTGAGGAGTATGTTGGGTTGTGCTTATATAGGTAAGTGTTATAGGTGCATGCTGTGGAACACGTAAGTGTAGCAAGATGTAATGGGTGTAGCTGGTGTATAGGGCGCTGTCCAAAGTGAAGTAAGATGGACTGTATAGTGTCTTGAGTATATTGTGGTAAATGGTACTGTGTGCTTAGTGTACTGAGGTGAATGCTATGCATTGTGGAGTGCATGCTACAGTGTGTTGAGGTTAGCTGGGTCCTGAATTGTGAGTATAGTGAAATTTAATGTAGGTAGGTAGGTATGGGAGTGTTATGAGTCTATTGGTAAATGGTCCTATGTCCTGTCTGGATTGGGGTACACACAATGGGTTAAAAAAATTATAATCACATGACTAAACTAAAAGACAATTAAAGCCAAGCCTTTGTTTTTGCTTTACTTCTTTTTTGGTCACAGAAGTACATTTACTAATAGCAGGGTATTGCTATTGCTCCAATTATTGGGAAGAGTATATTGCACTCTCCCAATACTTCTTCTTTTAAGAACCTTATCCTCTTGTGCTAAAGCTTTGCGAATTGAGCCTCTGATGTGTTTTATAGTGTATTTGCTGTATATATCCGATCATAGCTATAATGGACTTACACCTACTCACAAATTCCCTATTGGTAAACTGGCACACATGTGCTAATTGATAGATAATATAGATACTAAATATATCAAGCTAAGAAACATTGTTTCTACACTATATCACATTGTTACATGCACATAGGTAAAAAGCTTTCAAGTAAACAAACAATGGCTATACCTGGGAAATTTTTGTCAGTTGTTTTTTTGGCCCCTTCTGGATTTTTATCATCTTGTGTTAACATTTCCTCTAACCAAACATGGAACCTATAGAAGAAGGTAAAGTTAATTTCTGATGTGCACTGTATGTATTGCATGACTTATGATCACCAGGAAAAGTGTCTATATACTTTATACCTTGGAGGAAACATTACATACGATACAGTAATAGCAAGATAACTATGCTGTTAAATAATTTAACCAACACACATACTGTTGGATAAAGACTTTATATGAAACTATTGCTATTACATTTCTATATACACACTACACAACATAATGCATGTTCATATATTAACGGCATTATTAAAAGAGAACTATAGCCATACCTTTTTTTGGCTATAGCTCTCTTTGGGGTCACAGGTGTACATTTACTAATGTGCTCCTGTGACCCAAAGTCAGCATATAGTAGGCTACTGCTGACTGCGGCACGCTGCTGCTGGGAAAGATCCCGACAATATTAGTGCAATAGACACTCTGTGAGAGAGTTAAATCTAGGCTTAAACATATTGTATAATACAGCTGGCTCTGCCTCTCTACAGCCAAAGCTAGCTGTGCCTGCCCCCTTTCCATGTCTGACCCTCCAATAAGTGCTGGAGGAACAGAGAGGGGAGTGGGAATCCCTGCTGGAGGGTGGTGACTGACAGTCACCACTCTCTGCAGGGGGAAAAGCCATGAACCTCAGGGGGTGATTTACTAACCTAAACACACGCACGCACTAGGTGCGTGTGATTTTTACACAGCAAAACGTATTTATCAACCAAAAAGTCTCTAAAAGCATATTTCCACTAATGCCATATATGGAAAAATCATGCACATGATGCATATATAATGCTGCTTCACAGTTTAGACAAAAATGGTTAGCTCATGCATTTACATTCCTTGCATTCATCAACGCAAGCAACACAACATAGAGCTAATTTACACAACATCACCTTGCAAATTCATACAGGGCTTTGCACAACACACCTGCTGGGTGTGTACACACTACAAAGGTGTTTAGATTCCACCCATAGATCATGCTGGGATGGAACACACTACAGAGGTGTATACATGTTCATGGTGTGTTAATAAGGTTAGTAAATCAACCCCTCAGTGTCACACACTGGCTCTATAGCTCGAGAACTGAGCGATCACAAACCGTTGATCGTTTAGTTTTCAAGCTGTAGAGCTGGCGTATGACAATGTGTCTTAAACTATTGGGAAGAGTACATTTTACTCTCCCAATATTTACCCCTTAATACAGTATATTGATTGCTAAAAGTGCAATATAAGTAAGCAGAGCTGTCACCATTCTCAACCTCTCCTTAGTCCACTCTTCTCTTTTTCCCACTCAATAGGCTGCTTTTTAAATTATTTTAACTACCTAATAAACGTATACAATATCAAACGAAAAACAAACATTTCATTCTTTTCTTATATAATTTTCATTAATAGCTAGTATTGTATAGTTCATTTATATGTGTTGACATGTTAGGTTATGGATTTGTACCTTCCAGATGTTCGAAGACTTAACTCTCTCACCATCATCATGCTTTCCATTTTGTGAGGGTGATAGGAGACAACATGAAGGGGACATGGACTGTTTTCAATGCAAGTTAGCAGGCGCTGTGTCTTTCCAACAGGAACATCTCCAACACAAAAATAATATACAGCATCTACCTACAAAATAAATATCCTTAGAACTTTGCCTTTTATTTTGACAAGCAGGGTATTTTCTAAAATAGTAATAATGCTACTAACACAAGACATCATAGCCTAACCATACACAAATGCTGAATATTGAGGCCATTATTTAGCTAAGACAAAAAAAGTTTATCTGTGTGGTCCAGTCTGATCCATGATATCATTCCTGGCCTTGCAGTTTTTGTGCTACAGGTTTGCATGAACTTATCTAGCCACACAGGGAATCAACAGTGCAGGCAGTAGACAGATTAAATAACAGCTCGCAGTGCCAGACTGCTGTAAACAAAACAAGCAGAGTCCTGTCTTGCATTAAGAAGGGAATGTATTGCAAAGACAAGTCTGTAATTTTACTACTATACAGATCACTGGTTCGGCCACATCTGGAGTATGTGGTCCAGTTTTGGTCACCAATACTAAGAAAATATGTCCTTGAGCTGGAGGGCAACCAAACTCATTAAAGGGGTTTGAAGACCTGAACTATGAAACAAGGTTGTTAAAATTAAATATGTTCTCTTTGGAGGTTAGGAGATTAAGGGGGGAAATGATTTTCCTGTATAAACTGTTCAACGGCGACAGAAACATTATTAACAAACTATATACGGTTAGCTCCGTAACAAAGACCAGAGGGCACCACCACAAATTGCTAGAAAAAAAGTCCTACACACGGGGCGCAAGGGGTTCTTTACAGTTAGAGCGGTTAGGGTCTGCAACTCTCTGCCACAGGAAGTAATTTCAGCCAAGAGTGTGGAATCATTCAAGAAACTCCTGGACGAGTTCCTTGGAGACCGTAACATAAAGGGGTACAAGTACTCTTAAAGAGCAAAATCACACATGGACTCATATACACGCACACACCTGCTCAAACATAAATGCATACACGCAATAGGTTGGACTTGATCGACTTATGTCTTTATTCAACCTCAAATACTATGTAACTATGTAACTAGAAGTGCGATGCAAATGGACCATTTATCAGTGAGTAAATGATACATCAATATTTTTATTTATATATCTATATGACATACAGACTGGTATTTTATATAGACCAAGACAACCCCTTTTCAATAACTATTAAACAGTTTAAAGAGGGATTTGGCAAGTCTCTTCACCCACAGGTTTGTTAATCCTCAATGAAGGAAACTCTTCCAGGCCCTCACTGAAGTTGCAGGTCTGCCACCCTCATTCAAACCCTGTCAAATTTATATCTTAGCTTTCTGCTCAGTAGTGTTGTCACCTAAGGCCCCGTTCACATGTAGCGAATTATCGCGCGATTTTCGCCGCGATATCCGCCACGATACCGCGCATTTTTGCCGCGCGATATCGCGAGAAGTCGCCGGCCAATGCTATTCAATGGAGCTGTCTTAACTCCATGTCGCTCGTCGCGGACGCTTCTACCGGACCCTTTTTTTGGCGGATTTTGCGCGATTTTGCCCTTTTTCTATGGAGCCCGACGGAGAAGGTCGCGCTACCGTCGCTGGATCGTCGCTGGAACGTCGCCCCGAAAGACGCGCTATCCCGGCCGTGCGGATCCGCTGCAAAAGGTATGTCGCTACGTGTGAATGGGGTCTAACCCCTACTGGGGAAAGGGTGCTCCACTACTCAGCTTAAACCTAACCAGGAGCTGTGGAAATTGGATTTTGGGTGGGGAAAAATTCCTCTGTAAGGCTCTTCGAGAGTTTTAAGTCGCACGAGCAACGAGATGAAAAATCCCACCTGAAATATTTAATATTAATATTTTTCTTATGCAATTATTAATGCGATTTAGTATGCTCAAAAATGTAATTATCATTTATCAACAAACACACTCTTTGATTTTCTTGTGTGTTGTTTTTCTGGCAAACCTATTATATCATTGCTCTGTCACTGAACACAGTTCATGAAATATGGTCATAGTCATTGCTATCAGGTAACAATTCAATACAGTAAGATCACATTTCTAAGTACGGGGACTGCACGAGTAACACTGGTTATTTGATAGCAAACAATAACCTGAAAGGATGCAGAACTTGGTTTGGCCAGGTATATTGTTATTATGTCTAATTGCTATAACCTCATAACATTTCCCCACTGTTAGAACACTCCACTGCAGAACATGCAATACAATTCACACTATAATTACCTGCTACAAAATAATAGTACTTCTACACATTCAAACATAAATATGCTTACAACCTGGTCATCCAGGGCTTCAGATAGAGCTTCAGCTGCACTCTCAACAGTGACCACTGGAGAATGCTGAAGATTCCAAATCCACTCTACAGCTTGCTGTATGGAATACTGAGTGACATGAATAACATTCTGATGCCACTTCACTGGCTCCTGAGAAACCCTGCAAAATACACCATACATGATTAACAAGTGCTTACAGAGGGTAAAGAATGATGCAAAGTTCTTGGCTTGCTGGATACATATCTCATTTTTTCAGATTCTGCCTTGGAGGCTTGGATATTTAGTAGTAAATAAAGAAGGTCACTAGCCTCCAAACTCTCCATGTTGCCAGTTGCATTTAAACCAGCAACATGGCAAGACCTAAATGCAATTTCACAAAAAGAACACTTTGTGGGAATCAATAAATAGTGTTTATGTGGTCATCATGCCTCCACTATCCAGGCATATTTACAGTAAATGGATAAAAGAGCTTCTTTTATTCTGTTTTGTCAAAGCTGTGCTGGCTAGTGGTCACTTTTTTTGTTAATGAATACAAGTTTATAACCTGGACATTATATTTTTTTATTACTTGTGCAACATATGTATCTTATAAAAAACATTTATATTTAAACTTTAGGGCATGTAAATAAAATAGTGGCAACACCCTGTAAAATATTAATCTGTTGACGGGCTTTTTTTTTTTTGCGCCAGATGGGTTTTGAATTTCTATGCAAGTCTATGGGAATAAAAAACTACTTTAAGCAGGTCAAGTGCAGGTCAAATACATCTGTAAATAAATTCTGAATGATCTCAGAAGCAACTCAAACTGATGTCAAACTGTTGCCATCAACTCAAGCCCATTGAGAAAGGCCCTCATCTTCACATCTTCAGCTGGCAGTGTGTTAAACTTTCACTCTCCTGCAGAACATGTGGGACTGCTGCTATATAACACTTCTGGTTGTGTTGCATATTATGTCCCCTGCTTGGTACCTTGACCTGACCCCCGACATCACTATTGTGTCCAGTAGTGGCACAGGACTCCGCGGGAGCTCTGCAAGAGTAGAAATTTAACATACTGCCTGCTGTAAAGGTAAGTATTAAACTGCTTCTGTTCCAGGGTGCTGACATGGTATGTTGACAGGGCCGCTTTCACAATTCTCTGCAAATTTGCCAGTAAGGCAAATGTGTATATAGCACATGTGCTTGCACATTCATTCAGTGAAATAACGTTGGTTGACATTCACCAACATCTGTTCTTTAATTGCAAAAGTCGCTACCTGTAGCAAGTGTCCTATTTATAACAGGGCAAATGTTTCTTTGGCTCCTCATTTGATAGCCAGGTTTTTGTTTAGCACATTAGTCAGATTTATTTTTAGCACATTAGCAAAGAAAATCAAACAAGTGACTATGGTGACCAGGTCTTGGAGGCTTTTAATAACAAGACCAGCACTGCAGGGAACATAGAGCAGCAAATACATATTTCTTTCATTCTATTTTTGTTCATTTCAACATTCCAGCAATACAGTTAACATTGCAATAGTCAGTAGGTCCACTTTAACATGGTAGTCTGCTTAAGCAAACTTCAACTGAACAGAATTTCTAATTCAAGAGAAATGTATGCTTGTTGTCAGGTATGCTGTATGTAGAAATACTTGGAAAACTATGCAGTCAGTTAAGATTAATTTGTCTTTCCAAATGTAAAATGTAATAATCATTTGTATCACTAAAGCAAGGTACAGGGTATTTATAATGGACAATGCTGAATTCAGGCATTTGATAGGATTGGGATGCATACAGGGATCTTTAGACCACACTAGACTCTGTTGTTCAGGTTGTGTAACATCCTATTTATAAAGTTTTTAGATGTTATTTACATATTAATGAACACCTGCTACTCCACACACAATCTTATAGCGTAATCGGGGACATGACTCTGAGATTCAGATGTACCATGTAAATCTTTTGGATGGCTCCCTTTCAATAGATCAAGACTTTACTGTTTAATTTCCCATCTGCCCCTTTGCACCCCTTCCCCTGGTAGGTGTAGGTCCCTCCTCCCTCTTCCGTGTTCCCTATTCTCTTCACAGCAATAGTATATTCTTGCATACGCTGTATGAAGAAAATTAATTTTGTTCAACTATTATTGTAGACATACTCATAGACACGCAGTGTACCTTACCGGATGTTATGTGTTAGTAATGACTGTTTTATGTAATGTTTTGCCACTTGAATTATACCTGTTCTGCCCTTGTATTAACTGTGAATACTTTTGAACCGCTTACTCCCATTGTAATTGTGTCTGACTACTGTACACATATTATTTCAATAAAGATTACAGTTAAAATTTACAAGTTGGGTTATTCTAACTAAACTAAATGCTTATTATTCTAACTAACACTAAATGCTTATTTAAGGTCTTTGTCCTGCTATAATGTGTGCACCAAACATGCTTTCAAGATATATTTTTGTCTGTATTTAAGTCTGTGTGATGAAAATATATTAAGGTATCAGCCAGTCAAAATTTTATATTAAGCTTTATAATGCATAGAGGGTAAAACAGTCTGCTAAATTCGGTGTTTGATTTTTTTCACACAGCCACAGCTCCGATGGACCATTGCAAAGACACATCATAGACACACTATTACCAGACAAACCAAATAAAATTTCTCTCATAAAATTGCAAATTGAATACTTCAAAGTGCTAAGATGTTTTTCATGGCGTCCAATTAGGTTCAATAATGCCTTGGAAATCAGAATTCTATTGGTCATACAGCAAGCAAAGAGAACAAGGAAGTTGTAGAAAAGTAGAACCAACCTATAAAGCTTGCAAAATCTGTCTGCTTTATATTAGATGATTATACAGAACTTACAGTATATTAAAAGGAAACTAAATCAATTTTGTGCACAGTTGCATGTTTTCGGGGTAGCATTACAATTGCAAGAATTTGTTTCATTTCTTGTCTGAAATTTGTCTTTAATATTCAATGATTTATTCATATATTCGAACTTGTCTTGGTAAAACATTTATTAAACCAGCATTTGTCAACCTTTTTTCAGTCACGGCATCCTTTAAAAGCATGCAAAGTCTCGAGGCACCCCAGTTTAAAATGTACTAAATGTAAATGTAATAAAAACAGTGCGGTTCCTCACAAAATCTATCCTAGATAGGGGGTCTGGTATGGATTCTAAGGGGGGGACCACACTCAAAGAACAGATAAAAAAAGAAAATGATGTGGAGTTCCCCCTTGCCGCCAGAGTTCCCCCCTTTAACATTAGAAGCCCCCCTTGCCATCAGGAGCCCCCTTTTTCTTAGAGTCCCCCCTTTTCACATCAGAGTTGCTCCTTAACAGGAGAGTCCTCAGTCGTACTGTATACATTTCCCCACAGCGTGGCTGCAGCAGCATGGCAGAGGGAAAGAGGCAGAGCAGGTCTGGGCTGAGAAAGACTTTTGTCCTCTTCTGAATGCTGGGGTGATAATTGATGTAGCCCACCTTAGGTTAGCATGGTGCTGGTGGACGGCTTGGCTATACCATGGAAATGCGTGACGCTGTGCAAAAATTTGAAGGCACCCCGACAAAAAGGCATCCCTACAGCACCCTGGTTGAGAAAGTCTGTATAAAAACAAAGCTAAATATATGGTAGGAACAATATTCAAACTTGCTTGTCCTAAGACGATCTTAACAATATGGTGTGTAAACCTTTTTATTTGAGTAACTGAGCTAATTGCATTGCAACCAAAGCAAAGAACAGAAAAGGCTTTAGACTTTTCCTTGCATCATCTTAAGATTAGGTTTCCAGGTTATTTATTCAAACAAAAGCAGATCATCATCAGACCTGTGTAGCCTACTGTTACTGCGTATTCGTATGATTTAAAAAGCACTTTACCTTGAATATTAAAGGAAAACTACACTGCTTAGAGGAAAATTAGGTAAGGAAGTGGTTACTTCTATGAGCCCATTGCAGACTGCATCTGATAAATATTTCCCCATTCAGGTCAATCTTTTTTATAAAACACATTTGTACTTTGGAACAGTTTGGGTATGTCTATTGTCTTACTTACCAAATGAGGTTAAACTTGGAAATTTGTGCCACCTGTTCTCTGATAACAAGACTAATGGCATCACGGCATAAGTCATACTGTACTTTAGAGACTGTACTTAGGTCTAGAATAATGGTTATTGATTGTTCTTGGATCACACCAAACACCAGACGACTTGAGCTCTTCAGCCAATCCAGTCTTTGATTATACAATCCAATAGCCTCTTTGAGAGATTCAGCCTTCTGCACAACTTCTTCCATCCTGGTTGTCAACTTTGTTTAGAGAAACAGGTGTTCAGTTACTGTATACAAAGAACTGATTACAGTATGGCATCTTTGAATAAATAATCAAACATTTGCATGTCTTTAGCACACTAACCTTTATGGCAGCATACATGAAAAGCAATACTGTAGAGAGTCAAATATGTAGGCGCCACTGGCAACCTTGAAAATGCTTGTTGTCGTGCTGTCTCCGGCTTCAAATCTTTCTGAGACATTGGTCTTTACAAGCATGCAGCAAGTGATGTCAAGGGGAAGTCAGAATATCTGATCTGAAGGCCTGTTCCAGGTCATATTGAAGCCAATTAGGCAGAATGATAGCCAGGCAAATAGCATTTTTAGAAATAGAAGTAAGCAGTGGCAGTCTACATATATTTCCCGGACCACAGGTATGCTAGATGCAGAATGTGTGTGCCAATGTCATGGGCAGACAGAAGGCAACACTCATTACATAAAAGGGATTTTTTGCATTATCAGAAACTACTCTAAAGGTGCCCATACACTGTGTGATTATCCCACGATAATTGCGGGAAATCCCGCGATCGTACGATAATCGCAAAGTGTAAAAACGGTTGCACGTCTTTTGTCTCAGGAGCATGTTCGAAAACCAGCCTAAAATCTTACCATTTTCGGCTGGTTTGTGGCATGCTCGGAAGACAAATGCCGAACGGCCCGGTGTGCGCACGCACTACCCGTTCAGCATTGCGGTCATCGGAAGCCCGCCCCTCTGGGGGGCGGGCTTGCGATGATCGCAAGTACGATCTGCCTGTCCAAGATGGGCAGATTGTACGTTTTTTTTATTACTTTACAACCATCGCAAGACTAAAGTCTTGCGATGGTTGTTAAGTGTATGGCCACCTTTACATGTATTCCTATTACAATGCTGATGTTATAACAGGATAGTATATACTGTGAACTGCTTTAAAAGGTTGGACTGAACAGAAAGGAAGACAAGCTGAACTATCTATACTTTCAGGCTTTGTTTTTCTGTAGATTTACCCAACCCTTAATGGGTCTGTGTACAATCAAAACATTTAAGGTTCTATTAGTACAGAATTTAGGATCTTAAGCTATCACCCACTGCACCTATTTTTTTTTAATTTCCTGTCTGTTGATGGATGGAAAATGTAATAGATAGTTTACATTTTATGTTTATTCCCTAATGTTTATACGACTTAATAATTTGAAAATTCCGTTCAACTGAGTATTGTAATATGCATTGCTGTGTGATTTGCCTGTTTTCAGAAACCAAAAGAATCCTGTTCTTATAGCAGGGAATGAAAAATAAAGTAAACACACCACAGCTGTCTGTATAGATATCAACACTAAAAAACACTTTTTTTCTTAATCATCAAACGCCAGTACAGAAATTCTCTGACAACTATTTTAGCTTGAGTATTTGTGATCCATTACAGGCACATGCCAGGACATGAAAGCTGAAACTAAAGTTAATTAACTACATAAACAACTAAAGCTAATTAGTACTGAAAGGGGTTGATTTACTAAACAAGTGGAGAATGTTCCCTTATCTAAGTGACAGTTCACTGAGGCTAGCATGCGGGGGAGTTGCATCATCTGGGCCCAGGCAATCAAGTGTCCAATGAATTTGAACCGGGAAGAAGGCCAGTTTTTTTTTGTTTTAGTAGGGAAGTCTGCCATAATGTGTTGTACATACTTGGACATCATATCTAAAAGCTTTACTTCCGCTATAAGCAAGATTAAGATCAGTAAAACCGAGGAGGGATCTGTCCCAGGGTATAGTTTTACCTTTGTAATGTATTTATATATACACAAGACATATTTAGAAATACTATAACAAAGCCCAACACCATTAATCACGTTTTTTTGCACATAGAAATACATTTAAAGGTTCTTCCTGAAATATCTCTTATCACAATTCAATTGTTAACACAGGTATATAGTAAATTCTAATGTGCACTATTTAGGGATGATCTCACGTTCAAACTGAACCCAGTCTGAACCTGGGCTCCTCCGAACCCAGAAGAATCTGCTCCCGAATATGGAAGGAAGTTCTATCTGTTTCTCCCAATCAGCTGTATAAGGTAAATGACATGAACACAAGCATCCTGCCCCATTGTTTACATGCAGCTGCGGGTGGGAAATGCCTGGTCCGCAGCTGATTGAGCAAGGAAGTGCCGTGGGCACTTCCACCCAGAGGAGCTCAGGTTCAGACAGGGGTCAGTCCAAACCTGAGCTCAACCCTGCGCTGGATAATACCAGCATCTTCCCAGCACAGGCATGAAGTAGCCACTAGGAAAATTCAAATACTCACATTTCTAAATTCGCAGTTAAATTTCAGAACACCCACTATACGTTTGCTATGTGTTTTTTTAATACGTATTACCTTTCTAGTTGTTTCTTTGGAGTAGGATTATACAGAAGACTGGATGGACACCACTGAAAAACATTGCAATAACATGCAATGTTTTGAGATATTTAACCCTTTATTGGGGCAGACAGTCCTGCTCAAGTAGTTAAAAACTGTTGATCAAATCTACCAGCACAGTAGGGACAGGGTTAACTATGGCAAACACAACTCACCTTCCCCCTCATTAATATTACATAGCAAGAAAGCACTACATTGGATTTTTTTTAGTCCTGGAGCATTCAGAAAAGAGCAAGTAAACGGTAACCAGACATTTTCAAATATTTTTTTAAGTTATGCTGTGTGAATGGGAACATATAACAAATATAAGGTAGGAGTTAACCCAATTCGGCAGCAAAAGTGAAAATGCACTTTAATTTGAGTATGATGGTTTTTAGCCATCATACCCATGGACATAAGAATTTATCAGAGACAAATCCAAAATTGTTTTGTAAAGTGATAAGTAGCATATGAAAATTGTGTGCACTTACATTGTATATTTTACCATTGCTGTTATATTGCCGAAAAAGTCCATTTGAATATCGTGAAGACACTGGACGTCCTAGCTTATTCACATAGTCTGCACAAAAAAAAATTATATACTGCAGATAAGCAATAATATGGATAACAGTACGTACATAATAACTGTGCATGCGAAATAAAGCATACTACAGGCTGATTTTTTTACATGGGCATCTCTGGCTGGCTTCTGGCACCTGGGACAGTTGCCCTGAATCTCTTGCTTGGTGCCCTGGCTCCTGATGCCCTCCATTTTTATTTAGCTGCTTCTGCAATGACCACATTCTTTCCCCTCCCACCAGTCACCTGTCAGACTTCAGATACAGCAGCAAGTGCTGAGCTCCTCCTCGACTCTGACATGCCATATGTATTACTGAGCTCGGGGGTGGGGGATTTTCACTTGTGAGGGAGGAGATGTGTGGCACATACTTCTGACCCCTGCACTATGTGCATCACATACTTCTGACCCCTGCACTCTGTATTACACACTACTGATCACTGCATTTTGTGCCTTACACACTCCGGACCCCTGTACACTGTGCATTACATACTTCTGACCCCTGCACACTGTACATTACATACTCCCGATGGCTACATTTAGTGGGCTACACAATCCTGAACCCTGCATGATATACACTAGATACTCCCTGTACATTAGATACTCCCTGACCAATCTGCTTATTGTATTAGCAGTTGCTGGTTGTTAAGCAGTCCTCGATTATTTTAATTAAGCATATGTAATTATGATGATTCTGCCGTTTCCTGCAGGAAACCCAAGACTCTGAGAATTCAAAAGGGCTCCCAGGAGCCAGTGACCTAATTTCTTGTGTTTTCTGCCTCTGCAAACATATTCTTTTCAACTCTTACGTTAATGTTTTTTTGTACCCTATTTAAGGTCCACTGCAGGGGTCAGAGGTTTCTCCCCCCTCACCCAACCAAAGACACGGGAGCAGGCCAGTGGTAGCTGCAGTTGTAAGGTAGAGAGGTTTATGGTAAGAATATCTGGCATCAGTCTCTTTGGCTACACCCTTCCTCACTGCATTCAGTGATGGGGTGGAGTGTGGCCACTGCTCTCATCTACGTCCACCTGCCCACTCCCCTCCCTTTTTTTGAGGCTCAGAGTTACCTGGGTGTTTTGTGGGTACAAGGGCTGTGGCATATGTGTGTAGTGTATACAGTGAGCAGACCTTTTTGAGACTGAGTAATAACCATTGAGCCCCTATCTCTGTTAGCATGATTTAACCACACCCACTATACACTGCACCACACATGCCACACCATTGCTTTTCTCAGGATGCCAAGGGCTGTCCCAAGTCTTTTACAATCCTATTAATGCCACTGTTTATTAAACACAAAAGAATGGTAAAATAAGAAAAATCCCTGAAGGAAAGTTAAAATATGTGCGGTCTCCTATTATGATGACTGGTCTTTGCAGAGGATTCTGGGAAATGCAGTTTTTAATTGCAGATTGCTACAATTCACTTAACCCTATTTTTTCAGTGTTAACACTGCCTTGTTTACTGTAGTTATTTGACAAAATGGAACAAATACAATATACTACTGTCAAGCTGCAATATTTCTGATGTCATTGTGTACCGTTGCTATCAACAGCCAACGTACAGCAGTGAAACAAGATACAGACTTGAGGAAGTTAAAAAAAAAATAGTCTGAGGATCTCTAATCAACTGCAGATAAGCTATTATCCAAGACTTAAACTACTATTCTGCAGAGCATTTGTTACAGCATGCATTTTAAATACCAGGCTTCCAGGAACATTCCTGAACTGTGGGCAGATATAAAAGACAAATCAAGGCAGCTCTATCTAATCATAAATAATTTTTTTTTAAATGCCAGCAGTGTAAGTACTGAATGTGCTTGGATCAGCCTATTGTGGTCTACTGTCAGCAGACCTCAGAGAGGGGGTGGTAGAAGTAGCACAAGGAGTCATTCGGATGTGCTGCAGTGCAAGGAGAATGCTGATAGGGAGGAGAGAGCAGAGAGGCGCTCACCAGTATGTTAATTCTGCTTACACTGTCCAGTAACAGGTTGGGGTTGAGGAGGAGAACTGTAAGTGAAAGGAGAACTGCAGCAGAGAATGCTCAGGTTCTCTCCACTGCTAGACAGGGCTGTGCGACTCCTTTGGCAGGTAAAACAGCTCTAATATCTGTATTTTATCAGTGTATTTAGCTGTTTGCCTGGAGTTCAGCTTTATATTGAATTTCCACTTTTGCTGCCAAATTGGGATAACACCTACTTTAAATTTGTTACATGTTCTCATTCGCATGGCATCATTTTATACAAATATTTACAAATCTCAGCTTATATTTCTGATGCTCTTTTCTGGAAAATAAAGAGCTAAAAAATGGTTTCGTTTTCACTGCTTCGTTTTCCAAAATGAACCCTGTCTGTACTGTGCTGGCAGATTTCATTATCGCTTGTAAACTAGATGAGCAGGGTAGTCTGTCTTAACAAACATAGATCTGAGGTTTGGGTGGTATTTGCATGGTAAAAAGAACTGCCCCTCTGCCTGTCCCTTATTTGTACATTGCAAGCTATTCTAACCATTAGAAGCTGCCTATAGTGTCCTATGTACTGTATAATCTTGCTCCAAACAATAAGCTAGAAAGGTAAGAAAAGTTTTCTCAAATTTATTTTTAGATATGCTGTGTGAATGGGAACAAATAACAAACATATAGAGGGGTTTTCTCAAATTTGTCTGCAAAATTCTAAATACACTTTAAGCTTCAATCTCAGGGTTGTATATTAATGATACACTATATTGCCAAAAGTATTGCGAAACCCCTCCAAATCAATAGATTCAGGTGTTTTTCCTTGCTACTAAATATTCCACGGTCAACTGTTATTGGTATTATAACAAAGTGGAAGCAACTGGGAACAACAGCAACTCAGTCACGAAGTGGTAGGCCATGTAAAATGACAAAGCGGTGTCAGCGCATGCTGAAGGGCACAGTGTGCAGAAGTCGCCAACTGTCTGCAGAGTCAATAGCTACAGACCTCCAAACTTCGTGTGACTTTCAGATTGCCACAACAGTGCGTAGAGAGCTTCATGGAATGGGTTTCCATCGCCAAGCAGCTGCATCCAAGCCTTACATCACCCAGTGCAATGCAAAGCGTCAGATGCAGTGGTGTAAAGCACGCTGCCACTGGAATCTAGAGATGGGGAGTCGTGTTCTCTGGAGTGACGAATCACGCTTCTGGCAATCCGATGGACGTCTCTGGGTTTGGCGGTTGCCAGGAGTACGGTACTTGCCTGACTGCATTGTGCCAAGTGTAAAGTTTGGTGGAGGGGGGATTATGGTGTGGGGTTGTTTTTGATGGGTTGGGCTTGGCCCTTTAGTTCCATTTAGTTTAGTTCCATTTAGTCCAGCGAAGGGAACTCTTAAGGCATCAGCATAGCAAGACATTTTGGACAATTTCATGCTCCCAACTTTGTGAGAACAGTTTGGGGATGGCCCCCTTCCAGTTCCAACATGACTGTGCACAAAGCAAGGTCCATAAAGACATGGATGAGCGAGTTTGGGGTGGAGGAACTTGACTGGCCTGAGGTGACCTCAACCCAATAGAACACCTTTGGGATGAATTAGAGCGGAGATTGCGAGCCAGGCCTTCTCGTCCAACATCAGTACCAGACCTTACAAATGCGCTTCTGGAAGAATGGTCAAACATTCCCATAGACACACTCCTAAACCTTGTGGGCAGCCTTCCCAGAAGAGTTGAAGCTGTTATAGCGGCAATGGGTGGGCCAACTCAATATTGAACCCTACGGACTAAGACTGGGATGCCATTAAAGTTCATGTCTGTGTAAAGGCAGGCGTCCCAATACTTTTGACAATATAGTGTAGTTCTAGTTGGTGCTTTAAACACCCTTTAAACTTGTTTCAGGTTTTAATAAGCTTCAGTGCTGCTCAAATCATGCTAAAACCTGATATAAGTAGTCCTCATTAGCTGCTGCTAGGTGATCGCCGGAAAGTACATATAACCTGATTGTTGTCATTTATAATTTAATAGTTGGCTGCTTTTTGTAGCTTGAAGAGGAGCTTACGTAGTCACAGAAAGAAATATTATTACACGTCAAGTTTACAGATTATTGTTCAGTAGTGCACTTTTGGCTGTGTTAAGATGGACAAAAAGTTTCATATGAGAAATCATTTTCCTAAAAAAGAAGTAAAGCCAAACCTTTTTTTTTGCCCACTTTTATTAAATGAAAGTCCACAAAACAGAACAATTACCCTCGCAGGGGTTCTTTAGCATCTCATGGCAGGACCTGCCCATCCAGCCTCCTGGCTTTGCATTGGCAGCACCGCTGCTCTGGCCTTAGACCTCAGGCCACTGTCTGTTCCTCCAGACAGCCTCAGTCATGTGCTAACCTGCACACTGGGGGTTCTTCCCAATCCACAGCATCCTGCTGCACTGGACTCCACTCTGTCTCCCAGGTGGAGTCCTGAACCCTTCCCAACACCTTTAATTTAAAGGCTGTGCACACCTGTGCCATCAGCATGCGCTGGCCACTCAGATTCTGGACACAGGAATGGAGATAACGCAGTGGCATTGCCATACACTGCCACACAGGCTAATGCCTGCTATCATCTGAAAGTGCAGAGCTGCGCTGCAGTCGTGAAGGATCCCAACAACATATTTGGGATCCACACCACTGCCTAAATGACACACCCTACCTCTCCCTGTCTATCCCTCCAATGAGCGATAGAGGAACAGAGCAAACGTATGACAGCTGCTGGTGTCCCACACTGGCGCTATGTTTTACTCTCCCCACATTTCTCCTTAAGGAAAAACTCTAGGCAAAACCTTTATTATCCCTTGCAATGCAAGAGTAAACTACTCGTTTTTATCTAGGTGCTAAAATAAAAAAAGTTATACTCACCTGACCGTCTGAGCCAACCAGCTGTCACAGTGCTTCCTCGAGCCTGTCTCCTCCTACACTGCGGTGACAGTATGTACTTCGGCGACCTCACATCCAATACACGGTGTATTGGAAGTGAGGACTGAGGATCCTTAGACCGCTGCAGCGGAGGGGGAGCAAAGCTGGAAGGACCAGTCTAAGAGCAAGCAAGCTCCGAGGTTTAGGTGAATATACATGTTTTATTTTAGCACCTAGACGAAAATGAGCAGTTAACCCTTGCAGTGCAGGGGTAGCCCCACTGCAAGGGTTAATACAAGTTTTGCTTTAAATGTAATCCGGGACTGCCATAGCAGAAGCTGGTCATACTTGGATTTAATATCGACCGCTTCAGCAGGAATCCATGCATATTTCTGCTGCATCTGTCACAGTTCGAGCTATAGTCTTAATCTTTCATTACAAATCTTGCGCATGGCAATGGAAATTTAATCCAGTGATGTGGAGAAAAATCTCCAGAATGGAGTAATCCAGTGCGGGAGAAATTAATATAGAATTCAGGGGCATATCTGTTCAGTCTAGGATCTAGCAGGATTTTTTTAGGAGACAGCTCCATTGACAACAACTGGAGGAAACCTCAACAGTTAGATATAAGTTGTAATTTTAAAGGAGCATGGTCTACCTGGCTCCTGGGATCTGTCCATCCTTGGAGTAATCGCATAACTTCTCTTCAAACTCCCACACCAGAACTTGTCCTGACACACAGAATGTGATAGACAAAATCTGCATCTCCTGTCTCAAAGCTTCAAACTTAGAAGCAGCCCTGCCGCTGGATAACTTTGTCTTTTTGGTGACATTCAGGGGTTCAGTTTCTTCAGCAATAAATCCCTCCACCCGTTATGAACTGATTTCCACTTGCTGACCACCACTATATAACTGTCTCAAATACATCATAAGTAGTAATACTAGATAAAAAAAACACTGCCTCTTCATTCCCATGGCTATGATTGGCACTGGTGCCATGACCATAAACACAAATGACAACTCTCTGACTTTTACTGCTGTTTACAATCTCATTACATTTTTCCTGTAAATCCCACTCCTGATCATGTTAAAAATATTGAACATTTTCATACAGTTCCAGTGTAAATATACTTAACCCTAACAAAGATATTCTCTTATCTTCTCCCTTTTGGAATGTTAAATATACCATAGAAAGTGTTTTGTTATATCTGTTTGATACGAGCAAAAAAAAAAAAAAATCAACAGGGGTTAATTGTGGGCATAGCAATCTCTTTAGGCTTTTTTTTCATATCTCTATAGGTTGAACTCTATGGACATGTGTCTTTTTTCAACTTGACTAACTATGTAAAACTGCTGATCCGTCCAGAAATTCAGTGTTTTCTTGTATCCTGTGTGCTCTGCAGCATTATCTAAAACAATATTATCAACCTTACCCAGTTGACTTCTGTGAACACTTTCCTATTATGCTACAGACGTGAGGGGAGGGCTGGGCAGGGGTTCTGTGCTCCTAATTAACTCCTTATCCTAGGGTAACAATGCTACTCCTACATAAATACAATATGGTGAAGGAGCCTTGTTACCCTAGGATAAGAAGTGTGTTACTGGCAGGCCACCCCATGTAAGGGCTGGTAAAGTGCAATGCATTACATTTTTGTTCTTGGGTTTAAATACACTTTAATTTACTTAGATTTGGAATAATTCTTCAAGTTCCCATCAAAGTCTCACTTTCAATGACAAGAAAAAAAAACTATAACTAGGGAACAGTAGATACAGAGGGAATAAAATACCCAGTAGAAGAAATATTGGCTTAAACAGAAGAACTGAGTGGTATCTTGACTCCAAGTCAGTGTGAGAGTCATCATGCCAATGTGATTGGAAAGACAAACAAGCTATCCAGTTGACAATGTCAGGCACTTGGCACGGATGAATCAGCTTGTTAAAATTTGCAGTGATTTTGTGAAAATGAGGGCATAAGGGGGAATGGGAGTGCATATAAAGTTGCATAGGATTGTCATCAAATTACTACAGGAAACTACAAATAGCTCCAACTCCTTTGGCACAAACTTCCAAAACATTGTAGATAGCTGCATCAGACAACTCAGCAGATCCACATTCAAAATAATGATACATAGAAGGAAAGTGAAGCCCTTAAAATGTGGATGGGTAAACGAAATGAGGCTGGCATCAGACACTCTGTTTATTTAATATTCTCTTGTTGGTTACTTGCTGCTCACTCAGCCCACTGGCTGAACATGCTGAACCCCCTAGGCACACTTGGTCTATAGGGTAAGGAATAAGCAGCAGTACTTACCTTATTCCTCGCTCCCTCAGCACTCGCCTCTGCTCTACAATGCTCCGGATACAGAGACAGATTCTCCATGGCATCATGTACATTGCCTTCTTAATTTTAACACGACTTCAGTGGAACAAAATATTGTAAAAGAATGCTAGCAGGTAGAGTTTTCAGCCCATGGGCTGAGCGAGAAAAAAACGCTTGATTCGGCTTGCACCTGCCACTGTCGGAATGCTGGAACAGTGATTGGAGCTCTATTCAGCCGACAATTTTCAACCGGACTCCTTTGGGAAAAATCCACTGAATAATTGACTTTTCTTTAATGATGTGGTACCGACACTGCTCAGATTTTGTCCAAGCCAGCAGGACTTTGAACAGTGTATGGCCAGCTTTAGTCTTACCAGATCTTGTGGTGTACGCAGAATTGGCTTTTGAACATGACTTTGCTTACTGGGAAACGTAAACACTAAAGATGGTTATACACATGGTTATATTGTTTTCATTCAATCTGCGGGCTGAACAAAGAAAATAGAACAGATTCCTAGGTCAATGCATTGTACTCTGACAGCGGCCACTGGCCAATCAGCTGCAAGCTCTGTTCGCCCAAGAATTTTCCAAACTGCTCCTTCGATCAAAGGATGCTGGGCAGAAGGGTGCCCACGGGGCCACTCACTGTGCAAATTTGCATTGTGTATAGCCTTCTTAACCCTACCACTGCTGGAGGTGAGCACAGCATGTAGAATGCACTAATTAATGAATATATTAATAAATGATAGGGAAAATGGCATTTCTCTAAATTCCTCTACATTAAAATAAAACATGTATTCAGTCATTTCCATATTACTTCACTGAATAAGTTAACTGAGAATGTGATGAGCTTTTTACCTTCCCTTTGCTGGAAACCGAGCTGTGCCAGGATCTTAGGCAGTGTGAGCTTCTTCTTTTTGAGACTGAGGGACTTCAACCATAGTGTTGATGAAACTTGAGTCGTGACATCCATATTTGATGCCATTTTTTTGGCACTCATTTCCAGATATCAAAAATGTTTTAAACGCACATCTAACAAAAAATAAAAAGAATGAAAATGATGAAAGTATGATAATTCACATTTGTAAGTACTCATATACAATACCTGTGGTCTGCTTTCACCTAAGAAAATGTCATTATGTTACATGTTTGAATAAGCCTACAAGTGTTTTAAAGCAGCCCAAGGATACAAAAGAGTCACAATTAGCTTGAGACGTAAAGCTGAACAGTCAGCTATTAAAATGAACAAGGTAGTGCCCTCCACACTGTGAGGTTAATGACATGTTTTGTCTAGGGCAGTGGTGGTGAGCCTGTGGCATGCGTGCCACAGAGGGCTTGCCGAGGCCCCTCTGATGGCACGCCAGCCTAGGCAGGGGTGTCAAAATCCTAGTTGTTTTTTTTTTTACATTTAGCCCTGCTTCAGAGAAACAGGGCTTAATGTAGAGTGGCGGAAGCTGGCGCTTATTTAGTACAAGTGAACCCGGCGATGCCGCCGAGATCACTTGCAATATGCCTGCAGGTCTGTCCCCCTCTCCATGGTCTCTCCCCCCCCTCGCCCTCTGGCTGCTTCTCTCCCCGCTGGTCGCCTTCCTCTGGTTTTCAGGGTCCTCCGCTCTTCTGGGGGTCTCGGGACTATGCAAAGTACAGGATGGAGAGTGGGGAGCAGAGCGGAAAACGTCTGTACTCGCAGCCTTTCCATCTCAGCTATCACAGGAGAGCCAGCATAGTACTGTGCTAGAACTCCAGTATTGGAGGTGACAGGTTCAATAAAGAGAAAGGTAATAAATTAACTAATAGTACTAAAAGGGACCACTTATAGTAATGCATGGTATTATAGTCTCGGGGCACATAAAATCTTCTCCTTTCCTGTGGCCAGTGTTCAGGGAAAGCCTCTCCATATGAGAATGGATGAGGACTCACTCTCATACTTGAGAAAGAGGAAGCTCATCTTGAAACCGGTTGCCTAGCATCTTCACCCAAAAGTAGATGCCACTGCCTGAGGGGTCGATGTTCACTAACAAAGATGCATGTCCTCATCCATTTTCATATGCAGAGGCTGTCCCTGAACGATGGACACTGGAAGAGAGAGGATCTTCTGTCCCCCTAGACTGTTATACCATTCTAATATAACATGGGTGCAAAAATTGAAAAAAGGGCCTCAGTCATGAAGGGGTTAAGTCCCTTGTGAAATCCTCATGCTTGTGTAGGATCTATACTTAGATGTGACCATTGGAATACATTGGAATACATTGGACGCAGTTTTGCTCCGATCTGTAACTGCTCTGCTCCTGGAACGCGCTTGGTGTGAACAAGGCCTAAGGCATCAACCAATCTGATCATTGTGAGTGCATTACTTTTCCTTCTTTTTAATATTGGTGTGATTTTATAATGCACAAGGTTGTGTGCACTCTTCCTGTTCACGAAACACATGACCATATTGGTTAGGAAATACACAGAGTATCCAGTATAGTCCCATCATTTTATTGGCACCAAAGCCAGGTTATCCTAGGAAAGTATATAGGTAATTTTTACTGCAAAACTGGAAAATAAATTATATCAGCCCATTATATCATGCACAAATAAAATATTTGGTCATTTAAGATACATCTTGTAATGGTATTTGTAGTACCTAGAATGTCCGATTAAAGATTAACTTAACCCATATTTTCAAAATAACAACGAATACACAACAAAGAAATGTTTAGTAATGACAATCTACAAACAGACACTTCTTGATAATTGTCGGCTTTTTATTCTTTGCATATATTATTTTTCTTTTCCTCCCCATTCTTCTGACAGTGGCCATTTTACTAAGGGCAGAGGAATTAATCTCCCTTTACTTCCTGGAACTCTGGCACATGTGACTAGGACATGTGACCATGCACATCATCTCAGGGGAGGAAAATGCCTTTCCCTGAGATCTCCTGAGATTACAGGTGCGATTTCCCAGAATGCTCTGCTGATGTAACCTTCCCAGGATGCAACAATTACATCATTTGTGCCAAAGAGGACCAGGAAGTGGAAAAAAAGAAAATGTAAGTAAAATAAATATGTTTGTTTGGCTAATAAATGTAAGATGATTTCATATCAGCATGCAGAGCTGTATGCTGATGTCGTTTTTAGTCAAAGGGGGTAAAGGTCCACTTTAAGGTCTCTATGTGTATGTATCAAATGTATTGCTTGCGATGTTGGTAGTCTCCAATATGAGTTTAGACCTTTCCATGTATAATGCATAGGTTTGGTTTTCCTCTGCCTGTTTTGGAGCTGCAAAACCGAGCACTCCCATGTGTATGAACTTTATGGACTTTTGTTTCTGACTGTTATCAAAGTATTTTTCGAGCACATATTCTGTCTACCAATCTTATATGTTGTTTGTTGTAATGAATGCCAAGACTGTACACTGATCACTGCTCAGTGTTCTATCTTTAGAAACTTACTAGCAGGGAAGTGAGATGTTTTTATTGCGAAGACACATACAAAGCCTTCTTCCTAGCAAAAACTATTTTTCTATGCTAAAGTTTCACTTTAATGCGCATTATTTAATACCAGGTTTGACCTTTCATTCTGTAGATATGTAATGCTAATGTCCACTATTTCAAAACAAATTAAAACACACACCCACATTCATAAAAGTATAAAAGTGAATGTATTACTTTTTTGCATTGGAGCCTGCAAAGCAATGTAACCGCAATCAATGGATCACACCTGCAGACTATTCCCCCAGTCCCAGGTCCGTACAGAGTTAAGGTGCCCACACACCTTACGACCATCGTAAGACCGTATTATCGTACGATCGCGGGATTTCCCGCAATTATTGTGCGATAATCGCAAGGTGTATGGGCACCTTTATGCTGGCCTCAGACCTTACAACCATCGCAAGACTTTTGTCTTGCGATGGTTGTAAGATGATTAAAAAAACGTACGATCTGCCTATCTTGGACAGGCAGATCGTACTTGCGTTAATCGCAAGCCCGCCCCGCTGAGGGCCGGGCTTCCGATGAACGCAATGCTGAATACGAACATGCCAAACACCCGCCGACAATCGTACGATTCTCGGCGGATTTTCGAACATGTTCCTAAGCGTGCGACCGTACAGTAGAAACGGTTGCACGCCTTCCACACACCTTGCGGATTTCCCACGATTATCGCAAGGTGTGTGGGCACCTTAAGGAACGTTTTCTTATGGGGCTGGAGGAAGCAATCAATGGACTACAAGTGTGGTGACATCACTGGACTTGTGTTCCATTGAGATCTATGAGTCTTCCTGGCACAGTGGCACATTGGTCTTGTAGTATCTCCATTCATAGATCCTGTGAATAGAGGATGTGGCTGTATGGATGGAACCGTGACCAGCCACACCAAATTCAGATGAATACAGAATCTGGAGAGAAGTAGAAGCCCGGTAAGTGAGGGTGGTTTGAGGGTGGGGGCTGGGTAATGTGACCATGTTTCATATTACACCCAATGTTGGTGTAACATGAAACATGGACCAAAAGGTGAAATATTCCTTAACCCTTTCGCTGCCAAGGACGTATGGCATACGGACCTACAAAAGTACAAAAGTGCTTCCAGCAGGCCAGGTCAGTATGCCATACGGACCTGGCATTTACAGTTCTACTATAAGCTGATATACTACCGTCCTCCCGTGACCCAAAGCTCAGTATACCGCGAGCTACAGCTGATTGACAGCTGTAGCCGCCCTGTCCAAGCAAAACTTTTATTAACTTTTATTAACTTTCATTGGGCAGCCCCACTGCAAAGGTTAGCTGATCATTTACGTCTAGGTGTTAAAATAAAAAAGTTATACTCTCCAGATCCTCGGAGCTGGTTTGCTCTTAGACTGGTCCTTCCAGCCACGTTCCCCCATATCTTCAGCTGTGTAAGGTCCTGTGAGTCATCACGTTCTATATACTTTGTATAGGATGTGAGGACCCCAAGGGACATATCAGTGCTGCAGCGTAGGAAAAGACAGGCAAGAGGGAGCGCGGTCACAGCTGGCAGGCTCCGAGGATCAGGTGAGTATAACTTTTTGCTATTTTAGCACTTAGACAAAAATGAGCAATTAACTCTTGCATCTGGGGGTAGCTCCACTGCAAGGGTTAATAAAGGTTTTGCCTGGAGTTCTTTTTTAAATAGGATTTCTATATAATCACTATGGGCAACAACTCCAATCCTGCACTCATTTGCTTCCTTCCAGTTTAATACATGAAACCCATTAGGAGACATTGTACTACAATCAAAGTAATCAGCGCAATTATAAAATGATAAACAGTACAAATAAATATACTTCACACACGCCCCTGCACAACACTGTCTATATAGCAAGTCATTCAACCTGCAGGACAGGGCATTTTATGAAGCTGACCTGGTAGCGCGCTATGCAGCGATCAGCGGGCTCCCGGCTGTATACGGTCCTCTCATTACGTCCTCGGACCGGAGCCTGACTCGTCCACTTGTTGACTGTGGAAACCATGGTTGCTCAGTTCTGACCAATCAAAGCGCCGCTCACACTCCGGCATCGTGCAGGGTAGGTGGAGGGTGGAGTAGGGAGGAGCGTTTGTTCGTCGGGTGATCTGATTGGCTCTCATTGACGTGACGCGTAGATACCTGCTGTTCGGCTGCAGTGCAGTGTCCCTGGAGAAGCTCCTGATTATATCTGTCACCAGCAAAGCATTCCTCCGAATCTGGGAGAACAGTCCTATCTCTTCTAATTATGGTTTCCTATGTATACCTCCAGGGACCATGGCAATCTTAAAGTGATGGGAAACCCTTTGTTACTTCAGTACAGGAGGTCTGCACTCGGCTTTATTTTCGGCTTCACAACGCAACAGCTCATCCATGTAGTGTTAACAGTGATTGATGACCCTACAATTATTGCTTGCACTCTGATGTTCACGGTGATATGTAACATGTGTGCCTCAATGGGCACAATTGGCGTTTATGCACATAGGCGCACCTGACGCATGCTTGCATTTGCATGTGTGTGTACACATCACTTCCACATTCAGAGATTGGAGGGGAGGATGTGTGCTGATCTGCATCTGATTTCAGTACAGAGAGCCGCCATGCAGGTTCCGAGCCCGCACTCGGCACAGTGGAACCCGGGATATCGGGCGGCTCTATAGCCAGCCAAAGGCTTGTCGTAAACAGCCATCGCCAACTGTTTAAATTGCAGTCGATTTCCCGCTCGTGCGCGCTTCTCCGCCACCGACCCGCATTCAAGAAGCCAGAAGAAGGTGAATTTAACCCCTTTCTGTCTAAACGGACGGGAAGCTGTTAAATTCACCCATTCCCCTAACATCCTGTGTATTCCACAGAATAAAACAGATCCCACTACAACCACCAAGCGAAATAAAGCCACTGTATTCGTTTTATCATTTTTTATGAGCAGTTGCACAACTCAACGATTATTGTTATGGGCTTTCTCTTATGCCGCCGGGTGCGTGCGCATGCACACTACTGCAAACTCATCAAAATCTGCTGGCAAGTCGCCGGAAGTGACGCATACTTAATGACGTGCCCAATGGGTGACACCCAACCTGGTGTCACCGCTGTCTATATGCCTATTTGTTTCCCACTTAAACTTTGCTGTATACCTTATTCCCTATTCCGCAATGCCTCTTTCTATACACTGCACTGTGTATACCCCATTCCACACTGCTTCATTCTGTCTGTTGTACTGTACATTCTCCATTCTACTCTGCCTCAATCTACAGCTGTGCTGTAAAATCCCCATCCACACCACCTCATTTTGTATGCTGTGTTGTACCATCCCCCTTTTACACGGCTCATTCTGTAGGCTGTGATGTACAATTCTCTTTTTATACCACCTAATTTTCTATGCTGTGCTGTGCAATCTCAGATCCACAGCCCCTCATTCTATAAGCTGTGTTGTACACCTCCTCAATTGTGTGCTGTACAATCCCCTATTCCACACCGCCTTATTCTGTACACCGTGCTGTACAATCTCCTATTCCACACCATCTCAGTTGTGCTCTGTGCTGTACAAACCCATATTCCACATCACCTCATTTGTATGCTGTGCTGTACAAACTCTTATTCCACACCATCTCAGTTGTACTCTGTGCTATACAAACCCACATTCTACACCACCTTATTCTGTACGCTGTACTGTACAATTACAGATCCACACTGGCTCACTTTGGAGGGATTTCCTTTCACTTCCTGTTGTGGCTCTCGAAAGGAAATCTTCCCAAAGAGACACAGAGGGCAAACAAATCTGAAAGGGATAATAATTTGGGATGCACCGATATATCGGCCACCGAAACATATCGGACGAAAATGGCGCTTTTGGCAAAATGCAGAAAGTGCCATTTTTCTGCCGATATAGCGGTGCATCTGTTCTTTCTCTCCTCCACGCTGGGCGCTGCTCTGTGTCCCAGCAGGGAGGAGAGAAACTGTCACAGGCGGCCAAGCGCTGCGGGAGGAGAGCGCTGTGAGCGGTCGGCGTCTCTCCTCCCCGCACCGCTCAGCCTCCTGTGACAGATCAGAGGAGAGAAGCGGTGTGCAGCGAGACAGCCAGCACTGTCATAGGAGGCTGGCTGGTGGTGCGGGGGAGGAGTCAGCTGTCAGATTGAGCTCTCCCCCCGCACCGCTCGCTCAGCCTCCTGTGATAGCTGTCAAGAAGGAGAGCGAGGTACAAAACAGTATGTTTACTGTGTCCCCAATTATGAATGAATGGGAAGTGATCTACATCACCGCCTGTTCATTCATGATTGTGGTTATAGTAAACATACTATGTGCACAAGTTATGAAAGAACAGGAACACTCAGTATAGAGGATTCCTGTTCATTTATAACAGGGGCTGCAGAAAAAGAGATTGAGCACTCTGTGCCCTCAATCTCTTCTATTTTAAAAGGGAAATATCAGGGGCCTGTTTAGACCCCCAATATTTCCCCAAAGCCCCTAAAAGTAAAAGTAAAAAATATTTAATAAAAAAATTAAAAGTGTATAAAAAATGAATACAAATAAGATATTTTTAAAAATTTGAAAAAGTTAGAAAAAAAACATTTTCAGTTTCGGTTTTGGCCCGACATTTTTTTTTTAAATTTCGGTTTAGTTTTGGTTTTAAAATTTTCATTTCGGTGCACCGGTAGTAATAATTTTCCCTTATAATCAAAAACGAAAAAAAAAAGAAGGTTTGGTGGCAGTGAACATAGACCACAGTTAAGTGTTTATAGATGGGTGGCAAGGAAAGGGGCATTTTTTTACCTTAAGTAAGGTAAATCTATGGACGCGTGCACCCGCATGCAGACACCGCTGGATCGGAAGTGCCTGCAAGCAGAGAGGAGTCAGTGCTGGATCGGAGAGCCGCCGCACAGCTGGAGGGACAGATGAAAACATCAGGAAAGAAGAAGAAGAAGATCGGATTAAGAGACATTATTTAAGGTAAGTGCTGACATTAACATGAGGGGAGGGACATTGTTTTTAACCTTTAATGTCACTTTAATGCAGAGAAAGAATTAAGGTAAAATATGCATACCACTTTAAGCCCACCACACACAGCTTACTATTACAATCTGATTGTACAATCTCCCTTAGCTCTACCAATAACTATGTAATGCAAGTGCTTGCAGTTTTCCTTCCAGCTCAGTGCAGCTTACTGATGAGTCCCATTTGCCTGGGGACCTGCTGCCATAAGTGTCACACCTCCTGCTGCCATGGAGCTATCAAATTAGAAAATTAAAATCCATACTTACGGTAATTTTCCTTCCTGCCAAGCTCTGTGGCATTACAATGATGACTGCCATTTTCACGGGGACTCACCCCTTCTGCCCCAATTAGTATGCTGCCATGTTTTGAAGATTTGTTTGTTTTTTTTTCCATGGGAATCAGTGCTTTTGGAATTCTTGGGAAACTGTTTTATATAATGATATACAATGACTGAAGTCTGAGGTCATTCTACACTTATCACTCCACTGATTATCACACAATATTGATATTTACATGTTCTCCTGAATGAGTCATGCACGGGGAGCAGCTCAGGTGCAGAATGACCTCGGCCAACACTCATTCAGAAAGACTGAAGGCTGAGGTCATTCTACACCTATGACACAGCTCATTATCACAGAATATTGATATTTACATTTTTTTTCCCATTAATGAGTCATGCACGGTTGGGCTGCTCAGGTGCAGAATTACCTTGGCCAGCACTCATTCAGAATGACTGAAGTCCGAGGTCATTCTACACCTATGGCACTGCTGATTATCACAGAATATTGATATTTACATTTTCCCATTAATGAGTCATGCACGGGGGGGACAGCTCAGGTGCAGAATTACCTTGGCCAGCACTCATTCAGAATGACTGAAGTCCGAGGTCATTCTACACCTATGGCACTGCTGATTATCACAGAATATCGATATTTACATTTTCCCATTATGAGTCATGTTCAGCTCAGGTGCAGAATTACCTTGGCCAGCACTCATTCAGAATGACTGAAGTCCGAGGTCATTCTACACCTATGGCACTGCTGATTATCACAGAATATCGATATTTACATTTTCCCATTAATGAGTCATGTAGGGGGGGTAGCTCAGGTGCAGAATTACCTTGGCCAGCACTCATTCAGAATGACTAAAGTCTGAGGTCATTCTACACCTATGGCACCGCTGATTATCACAGAATATCGATATTTACATTTTCCCATTAATGAGTCATGTAGGGGGGGTAGCTCAGGTGCAGAATTACCTTGGCCAGCACTCATTCAGAATGACTGAAGTCCAAGGTCATTCTACACCTATGGCACTGCTGCTTATCACACAATATTAAAAAGGAGAACTATAGGGTCAGGGCTTTTCCCCATAGTTCTCCTAAGGGTCACGGGACAACACAAGCTAGCGCTCTCCCGTGACCCAAAACTCAGTATACCGCGAGCTACAGCTGGCGGTATACTGAGCCGCCGCAGCCAGGACGGATCCTGACAATACTGTCTGGATCCACCCAGCTGCGGGATTGACAGTTGGCTCTGCCTATACATAGGCAGAGCCAGCTGTGCCCACCCCCTCCCCTGTCCGTTTAGCCAGTCAGCGCTGGAGGATCGGACAAGGGAGGGGGGAATCCCTGAGTGATAGTCACGGCTCTCTGCAGGGATATATCGAGAAGTGAGCGAGCGACGGTATGTGTTCGCTCACTTCACGATCTACTGAGCCGACCTGTGACAGTTTCATTGTCGCAGGTCGGCTCAGATTATGAGGCTGAGTGAAAATCACTTGTCTCATAATTCTCCTTTAATATTTACATGTTCCCCTGAATGAGTCATGCATGGGGGGGCAGCTCAGGTGCAGAATGACTGAAGTCTGCGGCCATTCTACACCTATGGCACCGCTGATTATTACACACTATTGATGTTTACGTGTTTTCATTAATGAGTCATTCATTTTG